CCCAAGAAATTCAATTATGATAATCGCTAAATATAAGATCGATAGGATTGCTTGTGGAGCCTCCGTAATATAGAGTGGGGTGCAGGTGTATCCAGACAACATAAGTATAACTCACATTAACTGCGAACGATAAATATATATATCAGAATGATGCAATATATTCATTCTCTTTTCTACTTTACTTACAGGTAAGTTTGGTAATAATTAGGATAAAAGGAGCGTGGAGCTACAGGTGTGCCTCACCTGGTGTTTGGTGTTAGATTTCAACCCTGGTATTATGAAGACTAAACATTCCTTTTCTCTTCAGTAGTGTACATATGGTATCTACTGATGAGTAGACTTTGTAAATTTACATAGTCTCGAATCTTTTAATTGTAATGTCTGTATAACGAAATGATCGAAGATTTGCTAGAAGTCGACCTTGTGATCGGCAAAATGACGGCAGTCACCCTCACGACTAGATAAAGAAAGGAGCGAAAGGCATAACGAAGGAGGAATCTTGAAGGAAGTAGGCCGTGCAAATGAGGTAGTCAGTCAGAGCTGCTCTGAAACTAAAACAGCCAGTCAGTTGCTAATTGAAGAACAAACAGGCATGGTTCAACGCGGGGTTCGGCTTGAAAAATCGCGACGACGACGAAATTTAATTTCACGACGCCATGGCGGTACGAAATCCTTGCAACTTCCGATTTAGAGAAGGAGGAACTCCAGAAGAACTGTTCTCCAGTTCACATTTCGGCTTTTATCCTCTATTCTTACTTTAAAAAATAGTTCAACCTGAAAATTGAGAAAACGAAAAAATTCAATATGGCGACGCTGCAAGTCACGTTACAAAATTTTGGCTCCTTTTTCTCTTCCTTAAAACAGAAAAAGCGCCTTAGTAAATATTTCCGAAATATTTAAAATCTTAACTGTTATCTCTCTATTTATTCTAAAAAAAAAAGAATTAATTTTGATATCAAGATTGAGTTTATCGTAATGACGAATGAACTTTTATTATGCACGTGGCTGGTAGATCAGGTTAATAGATCGATTTTTCGGTGTAGATTTAAGTTTCACAATTGTACGAAGAAACTCGTAAAACGGTGTTTAGTATAATTTATAGCAAGCATACCGATCGTTAACGATAACAATTAACCCCAGTTGTGAGGAGAACGATAACAAGTTTCACCTGGCAGCTTCTCCAACTAGCTCGTTTTACAGCCGGCTCATAATAAACGGTACCTTAATTTGCAAGCTCTCGATACAATTATCACAGACGTCCTTAAATTCATTAAAACTATCTTACTATCTTACTACTAATATCGCACTCAAAATAACCGAACTGTCTTCGTTACACAAATACGTAAGTACTAGACTCTGGAAGCCTACGTGTGTTACATAATTTGCACATTCGATCGCAAACAAATCTCGTTTCAAAGCACGCAACAAGTGATTGAGAACTTAACCAAGAGCAAAGAGAAAAAGAAGCAATTATTAAACTAATCGACTCGAAGCTTACCTTGCTTTCTTGAAAATAATCCCAAAGAAACTCGATTCGCATTTTTTCCAAAAATTCCTGCTTCATTTCACGAAAAAGTTTCTTTCGTATCGATCACACTATTTTAATTTTCTTCGCAAAAGCTTCAAACGTCTCTCACACGACCGCCATTGATCTATCGATATTCGCGAGAGTTGTGATCAGTTTACACTTTTCGTAGAATCGATCGAGAACGAGACAAGTCGACAATTTCGCTCGAGATAACCGCGAGCGTGACGCCACAAACGGAGGAAAAAAAAAGCATTGTTTCGGCCGACTTCGAGCCCGTGGAGAATTTTTATCTCTATATATCGCGCTTCTTTCCTTATCGCTCAACCGTATCTGATAACTTTTTTTTCTTTTCTCTTTTCTCCCGTTCTTTTTCTTTTCTTTCTTTTTCGTTTGAACCGCGTCTCCGTCGGTTTTCTTATGGTAAGTACAACAGGTACCCCGTGGTACGAATTAACGAATCTTGTTGCGATTATTGAGCCGTTTCACGGTTCGTGACTCGTGAGTCGAACACCACGACCCGTTTGCAGATCAGTGTCGCCTCAACCAGGAAATCGGTCTCGTCTTACAGGATGCCGGTGCGTCAATATTGACACGTTTCTTACGAAACCAAGAGAGAGAGAAAGGAAGAGAAAGAAAGAGAGGGAGAGAGAGAGTGCGCGAGAAAGGGGAAAATGGAAATGGAAAGAAAGGAGTGAAAAAAAAAATTGGAAATACGACAAACTTTTCAATCGATGAGAAGATTTTATGTTACTGTGTACGTGGAAAAGTTCTGTAGCTACGTATCTGCTTGAAGGTAATAAGGTAAGCGGTATAGACATTGTTTAGAATCGTAATAAATTCTTTATTTCTTACTAACCAGTGATTTGGATATTTCATGATTTTTCCGCAGAAAATAGGTTTATGAAAAAAATGAAATGTTATTATTTTTTAATATAATTTTTATGGATCTTCCTGATTTTAAGCGCAGCTCTTTTATTGCTTCTGAATAGTAGTTAGTAGCTTATTCTAACTGGAATATTTAAAAGTAAATGGAATTTACAAGGAGCTTTAATGGATTGAAAGTGTTATTCTAGTCTAAAAATGTAATTTTTATTTTTAAAATATTCAACTTATGCATTTTGGAAACGTAAATTGCACATGTATCAATTACTCTAATTAAATCAAAATATCTACAGATTAAAAATTCTTAAATTTGAAAATTTGAAAATTAAAAATATGATTTTTGAGTGTATACAAATTTGAGAACTCTTAACATTTTACACGTTTCAAAAATTTCTATTTTTGAAAATTCAAAAATTCGATAACTATAGAATCTTGGATAATTAAAATTTTTTAACTGAAATACGCGTCAAAAATATAATTTCAGTCGAATGATGGAATTCATTTTACTCGTATAAGCAATCGATGATTGATCTTGGAAACAGAAAATTGATACAATCAATAAATTGACATTGATAACAATAATTCTAAACTGTACAATATTATGTTATAATAAATACGAGAAATTTCCCGTTATCGATTTAAATTTTATTAGCATATATCTATGGGGAATTCGTTTCATTCAATAAATTCAGTAAAATGAATCCATTTCAATGTTATGGGGCAAATTGTTTAATATTGGATATTAATTATTTTATATTGATATTAATTAATTTATAAATATAATTCTTAATTAAAAGAATTTAAATATGATTGAATCGCAATAAAAAGAAATAAACATGAAAATTCATTGTCAACATTTTTATTATTCATTTGTATTAAATTTTACTCATCCGCCAAGAAACATTAAATAATAATAACGGGCATATAAGATTATAATATGAACATTAAAATAAAGCAGGAATATGTGAACAAAAACAAAAAAATTGAGGGATCACAAAGCCGTTGTAATAGTAATATTCGTCGTCATTATCAGTTGTTTTAATACAAGTATAACGAAATAAAATACGTTATCTTGATAACTAATACTTGGTTAAAATGTTACGAGCAATGGAGATCTTTGTAAATTGAATAAATAAGTTAATACAAATGTATACTCAAGTATGTCTAACTATAACGCAATAACGAAAGTATTTTTATTTGTGATATTGTGCAGTTTCAATAAGTAGAGTTGTAACAACAATTTGTGCAATAAAAGTTGGTTGCAATATATATATATATATAATTTTTTTAATATTCAATCAATTATAAAAGAAAAATTAAAAAGAATGAAAAATTGGGAATAAGATTTCAAACATTCCAAACATTGACTAAAAAAATTTTTAATTAATAATGTATATTAAAGTCGAATTCAAGTTTATCAAACGTTAATTGTAGAAAATTAAATCTTCTAACGTTTTCATGTAACAAGCTGAACTTACATGCATTTAAATGTTTCTCTTTTACGTTGGTGTAAAAGTACTATATTTATATCGAAATTTTTCGTATTAAATCCTATTAATATTTTGAACTTACTTTCGGCTACACGATTGGCTACCAATATTGGCATAATTTTCTTACAATTAAAATCGAATATGTAATTCGATAAATATTTCTTGATTAAATTGCATTTTCATGTTTTGAACTATTTACTGCTTGATAGTCTATGTGAATTAATTGATCTATTTAAATTATAACAACTATCGCATACATTTATTAATGGTATAAAAACGAAATGACATATATGAAAATGAATGAGTAACGATGAAAATGAATAAAGTGATAAAAAGAATTTTTTTCTTTTTCAAAAATACGACTAATAAAAGCATTAACAAACTCAGTAACCAATTACTTCATTAAATTATAACAAATATATCTCAACTTCAGAACAAGTAACTGTGATATGATTCTCATTACAAACAATTATAATAAAAAACTCAACAACACGTTAAAAAGAAAATAATATACAAATATGTACGCAATGACTATAAAATACGATAGTGGAAAGTCGAAATCACTAGATTAATTTATGCTAAATTAAACCTAAAGGAATCTTAGTATAATATATAATAAAGCAGACTATTGCATTTGTGCTCTTAAATTGTTTACCTAGGATTGTAAACTGCACATGTGCATGTCATTACGATCACTCAAGACAAGATAATAGTTAATGAACAATTTTCTTAATCATAAAGATCACAATAAAAAGATAACCATCACATGGCAATACTTCAATCTCTTCAGTCCACTATCTGCTGTTACAGATAAGTTGGTCTACAAATTGTTATTTTTCTAGCATTTAAAAATTAAATAGAGCTGAAGTTCTAAGGCATACATTTGATATGCTAAATTATGGTATCCTACGATAACTACAATTAAGGAAATCAAAATTTTTCGAATCGTTATTTTCGAATCGTTCTACCTTAACTTAGATCTACCTCGAAAAACCTTTTCAACGATCTAATAATACACTAGTAAAAAATTTATATAAATAGAATGAAAGATGTTTCATTCTTCAACATTTTTTCTTTTCTTTCTTTTTAAATATCGGTCGATGTATCTTGTTATATTGCATTGGAATTAGCCTGTGTAGTATGGGGTTACTCTACTCTTAAGCTTATGATTTGCATTGTTAGGTATTATATGTCTTTTAAACGTATCTAAAACTACGCAACGTAGTACAGTGCCGTTTTCAATAAGCTGCCATTATTTATCTTCACGAAAATGCATTCGATAGAGATTCAATAGAACAATCAGTTCTATGATATTAAAATTGCCAAGAAGTGTACGTAGCTGTCCAAGGAGTGACGACTGACCAAGGTGGAAATTGTGCCAAAAATCGTTTGAATCTCAAAGATGTTTGATGTTCACCATGTAAGAAATGACCGCCTAGAGCTATTGATAAACATGGAGTTTTGGGCATACTATTTACCTACATAGAAAATACATACATATTACAAAATACGTACACAGACATCGTTAATTAAAATAATATTCATAGTTGAATATAAATTTATACATAAAAATTTTGTAATTTTACTCACATTCAAATCAAGAGAAAATCTAAAAGGAACACAATTCGACGCGCAAGAATAATAAATAAAGTACGTTTCTCTATCATTCCATTTAGGTCCCTCTAATGGTTTCCCTTCTAAAATAGACCATCTCTCTAAATGAACACCTTTGTATGGAGATAGAATTATACTTATGTGATCAGGACCTGGGCATACAATTTTAGTTGAATTTTTGTCTTTTTATAAATTACATAATTACAAGGAAATTACCTGTAATATTAAAAGTGAAGGTAACAATATTTTGCCTTGTGGACTTTGAAATAAGTTCAAGTTTCGTTGGAACACTAATTAACGGTGCAGGACCTGGAATCCAACTTGTTTTCCTGTTAAAAATATTTTTATATAAGCTACATATTTAATTAAATTTTCCAATCATTTTAATATACTTTAATATTAAATGTAACGATACCATAAAAATGTCGTAACAGGCATAAAATATGGTAGGCCACAATATAATTCTTTTTCACAATCTTTTACTGTTGACATTACAGCACCTATTTCAGGTACCATAGCTTCCACACTATATGGACTATTCATGTCTAAATCAGCTATCCAATAGCCAGTTCCCGAATGTCGTAGGTTACCATTAATATCATAATATTGTCTTTGTGTATGCTAAAAATTGAATATTTATTTAATACTATATAATTATTTTTTAATTAATAATAATAAAAATTCAATTACCGCAATCATAAATCGTTCTGGTGCTAATGACGATAAATCACCACTATAAGGAAAACCAAGTGGGGTCAAAATTAGTATACCTATAGTTATTAAAAATATTCCCACTAATACACTCAGGATTCTTTCTGCATTTTTTATTAAAAGTACAAATGGTAACTAAAATCAAAGTATTAATCGTTAAATTATTGTCAGTTTTTTCAAAAAATAATTTGTTTAATAATAAAATAAACAGTTTACCGTGAAACTAAGTAACAAAGAAAAAAGAATGCACAACATATTAGCCATAACAACTTCCGAATTTATACTGCTACCAGATCGTCCCATTATGGGAATAAAAAGATAAAGAGCTCCAATTACTAAATAAAATGATTGTATGTAAGGTAAACACATTGTCACTAAATAATAAAACAGCCATTTCCAGCCTACAAGTAAGATGAAGAATTAGAGATAGGATATTTAATTTTATAATACTATTGTTTTATAATATTAAAATTATGTACCTTTCCATTTGTTAAAAAAATTACATCGAAGTATATTTCCAAGAGTGGGGAATACAACCCAATGTAATGGTATAAAACCAGATCGTATCTCGAATACAACACAACAGGAAAGAACAGACATCCATATTATAGAATATGAATCACAATATATTTCATATAAAACCCATGTAGATTTAAGTTCCTATAAAATATCAATTAAAATCAAATAAAAAAATTTATGGAATAAAACAGATTATTGTGATATATATGCATTGTTACAAATTTACCTTCTTCTGACGCGATCCAACAAATAAAAAGAACGTCATTGACACAAAAATAGTTGGAACTACATATAGAAAAAACAACCATGCTGGTCTTGCATACCAACTCATGACTTTTCCAAGCTTGGTAAGAACAAGTGCAATTAATGTGCAAGAAAGAATAGATACTAGCCATGAAACGATTATTGCTCCAGTGCATAATAGCAGATGTTTTAAATATACAGATCTTTTCACATCTGAATCAAAATTCAAAATTTATATTGTATTGAAATTATATATTATGCTATATGAATAAATTTAATTGAATATAATGGATATACCTCGTCGAGCAGTTTGCATGTTTAGATATATTGAATATATACCACCAACTATGCTAATAATATTGATTGTACTTGCCACATACTGTGGCCATCTAATAACAAAAATTCCTAAGAAATCAAAAAACACAGGATTTCCTGTACGATCTTGAGGTGGTACCATGGATAAATAATTATCTAATACTACTCCTTGTATTAAAGCAAGAATATTATCTCCAGTTCTTTGTAAAGATCCTAATGGTATTTGATGAATATTATCAAATTTAGTATGGTACACATAACCATTGGTTGCCCAAGCAAAATCAAGACCTATAATTTTTTTAAAATATAAATCTTTCTTACAAATGAAAATACAATATTAAAATAGATAATATAGAATAAATACCAGAAACATTTCCAAAATCTCTGAATATTCGAAAATCAGTATCTCCAGGTACAATACCACTTTCAAATATTTCTTGAGCTAAGGATGATGCATAAGGATAAGGAACAGATTTAGCATATATCTGTGAAGAAAATTAAAAATACAATACAATATCCATAATATTAAAAATGAAACGATTTGACATTACTTAACAATACCTGAAGCATCCAAGAGCTATCAGGTCCAGCCTGAAATAACAATTCACGACCACCTGCACCACAAGCCTCTAAATTTATAAAGGCCCGTACTTCCTTGGCCCAAGGGTGTTGTGTTATAAAGCCATGGGAAGCCTATATAAGTTATGCAATTAGTATTTCTGAACAAATGAAGTATGTTTTACGTAAATTTAATCTCATCATTACTGTACATAATTAATCTACCTGTAATAAGTTTTCTTCAGCACCATTAAATAAAAATATAATGTTATGTTTTAACAACTTTGAACTATGAGCAATCACACGTAAAATTTCTAACATCACAGCACAACCAGCTCCATCATCAGATCCACCTGAAATAAAAAATTATATTAATATTTAATTATTGATAATCATTAAATTCTTTCAATTAATCATTACCAGGACTTTCTGGAAAGGTATCAAAATGACAATTTATTAATAAACTACTCTGTGTAGATCTGTGAGGACCGATTTTAACAATGACATTTTGAACATTTCTATATACGTTTGTCATTCCATCCAGAAATTTTAAAGGAAAAGCTCCACTATGCTTGGTTACATTAATTAGAATCTTATGATTCTCATTAGCACCTTTAACTACATTATTGATAATGTTTGTTAAATATTTAATTGCCAATACTTCATTCTCATAACTTCCAACAATTCGTGGCCCGATAGATGTAATATTTAAAAGGTGATTATGTGCTCTTTCAGCTATGAATTTTCCAGGGTATAGACCTTCTTTATTTATTGTTAATGGTTCAGGTAATTTCTTCTCAAATGTAATTATGATAATAGACACAAAAAGATAAAATGTAAAAAGGAAAAGTAAATGTTGAGTTTCATTTGGCAGTACTTCTTTCTTCTTTGAAAATGCTTTATCCTCATACAGCACATCACCAGTAGATCTTTTAGTGACATGTTGACGCAATCTTATTCCGTCTTTCTGAAAGTTAGCAGTATTAATGCATAAAGGAAAAAATTACACTCCTCATAATGTATAGAGAATAACCTTACCATTGTCTATAGTCAAGGATGAAAGGCACTTTGAAAAATAATTAAATTTTTAAATTAAAGTTTGATCGAAGATAAGATCACAATATTCGGCTTCGTTCGACGCATTGACCGTATATATCACAAAGTGTGCCACGAACAAATAAAATTTGTGTTATCTTTTGGCTTTTCGTATGGAACAAATAGAAAAACATACTTGATTTTATTCATCTCTTTCTTTTAATCGTATCTTTAATAATAGCATTTCTCTCACGATTTTATATGCAAAATTAATTTAATAAATGTAATATTCAAATAAGGACAATGCTTACCTTTTATTATATTTCTTATTTAATCGACACAACTTATTCGTTATTTTAGATCTTTTTTTTCATAATTCCACGTTAATATATCGTGGATCATTGTTATTAGTTAATTTAATCTCCATTAGAACACATTTCAATACATTATAGCTACATATATTCATGTGCCACTGCGATTAGATAGCCATATCACATTTTTTGAATAAAGATTTGTATAGATGCTTGTTAGGTAAGTTACTCGATACTTGCTAACACGAGTATCGGACCTACATATATCTGAATATAGCATTGCGGAGAAGTTAGCGAAAACAGAGTATCTATCACGATAAAATTACAATCTAGAGGACCATTCAAAAGAATGATTGAAATGATCATGAAATAGTTTAGTTAATTGAAACGATATAAAGTGCTCACAAATTAATGTATTATGTGATGGCCTCAATTGATGCCGAAATGACACTGTTGATGTCGCCGACAGTCACAACTGCTTGCAATTTGTATCTATAAGTACTTAACGCTAAATATAAAATAATAAAATATAAAAGATTATTGATTAACTTTAAATTTGACTTACTAGAATCAGTTTACTATCACTAAATTCTGTTTAATATTTTAAATATTTAAAAGAACTGTAACTGTTTATATTGTCAGCAACAGGGGCGAATCTAGTACTGGACGGGCCCCTGAGAATTATATTATCTGGGCCTTACGAAAAAATTTGTTAATGATTAGAAAGAATAGCAAGAACAAATAATGGAAACTTATTAAATTATTATACAACTAAAATATTTACATGAAAAAATGAATAATCAGCTTCTAAGGTGTCAACTTATTATTGTAATCAAAATTAGGTAAAAATTTGGAACAATTTATGACAAATGTGTGGTACCATGCAAACTATACGATATTACCTTCCGTGGATCCGAGTATTTAAATATTACTTTATGTTAAATTGCAGAGTATTCTAAGTTGCAAAATTGTTATCAAGCATTACCACAACAATCGACCGCATGATCGGTAAGTGCCTGCGGGCTGATAGTCCATTATTATCCACTATTAGTAGATACCATCAGCATAGGCATTTTGTGTGTTGCTAAAAAATCAAAGTTAGATTAAAATAATCTAATAAAGAACACTACGCTGTTTTATTTATGAATATTATTATATTAATCTCCTTTTAAGCATTCATTAAAGCTTAAGGTCCTGAAGGGCCTTTCTTTTGCATAAGGTTTACTTATGTATTAAAACATACCTGGTCTGCAATACTTAGCATCGAAAATATTCAATTTTGTGGTTCCTATTACTCTAATAGATGGATCCTAAAGTACTCTATTATTTAAATCAATCATATTTCAATTTCATAAATAAAAGGTGTTATATCTATCTCTATCGTGCATATAATTTTGAGGGATATATAATTATACAAGCACTTACAAAATAAAAAACTTGAATGTGAATTATCAATATTATCGATTTAGTTGCAAATAAGTTATTATATAATATATAAATTTTCAACAAAATTAAAATTGAATCCGTTTGCGAGCAAGATTACAATCACATAAAAATTTGTTTTGGAGAAAACGAAATTCGATATGATAAGTCATTTATCAACTAGGTGATAAGTCATTTCGAAAATCGAAATTCAGGGTGAACTATTATGTCTATAGCCTATCCATATACAGACATGCGTTCAGAAGTGTAAAAATGCTTGGTCAACAATGCGCAACATATGTTCAAAATTGTAAAAAAGCCTAATTGACAATACACAGGCACGCATCTAGAACAATAAAAATGCTTGTCTGTCTAATGTTAACAAACACGCAGCCATAAATGTTTATTTTAAACAATTTTAAATTCCTTCAAAAAGTGATAAAAAATGCAAATTTAGTACTTTACTGCCATCTATACGGAGAAATTTTAAAGAGACCACAAAATTTGTTCGGCGACGATAAGATTCTAATGGTAGGGGCCGCCTCCGTAACTAGCAGACGACCAAGTCTAGCAGACGGCGCATAGCTAGCGTCGTTCGCGGGCGCTCGTGACTTTGTTTCAAAATCGAAGTTTGTTAAACGCTGAAAGACAGTTTCTGTAAACGAAAAATTCGGAAAGTTTATTGTGTGGCGGGTGAAAATTAATCAAAATGGATCCCGAAGCATTCCTGGATATGGCCAATCAGGTCATCAAATTGAAAATGTTCCCGTATTTTGATATCGCACACTGCGTACTCTGTGCGTTACACGTCAGAGAAGATTTAGGACCCGGTAAGCCCAAGCCTACCCGACCAATTCTAAATTTAATCCACCCAGAGCCAGCTTATACCTTTTCTAAGATTATGTTTCAGTCCCGACCAGTTCTGCCTATTCCTTTTCAATGTTCGCATTTTATGTTTTTCACGTTATTTTTTTTGTTACCGAATTTACTCTCATTTAATATTAGTCAAATTAAAAAAATATTTTGTATATTTTTTATTCGTAATAATTAGATATTACTTGTTAGATTATCCTACATTAAATGTTCCTATTAACTTTTTATAAATTTCATGTTATAAAATATGTTTAAAAATTAAAATTTTTGCTACAAAAATAAAATTTTTTTACTATACATACTTAACATTATTAATATTATAGAAAAAGAATAAGAAGAAGAATATAGTTCATTTCTTTAGTAACATTGATCAAGTGAGAAATACAAAATTCATTTAAAAGCAGATTACTGTTCTATCATAATATTTGGCACAATTATAATAATCACATTTTGTGGCATTCACTGAATTTATCTAGCTAATCTATTTCAGTATACATCCTTGTAGGTACGCCAAATTTTCCCCAAACATTTTGCCTTGATTTTTAGTTCTTATGATTTTTTATATTATTTAAAGTAATGTAAATAATTTTCTGCAAATATAATTGAAGAATAAATGTTTGTAATACTTATGTAAATACTTATAAGATATATAAAGGTATATTGTATAAGAATGTCCTCAGATATAGTAGTGAAACTTTTATTACAATGACTTTCTTATGCAATGGACCATGAAGGACTAATCTTTGAACGATAATAAATGATTCAAAGATTTTATATATTTCTTTATATTTTTAGTAGCATTTATGATACTAAAATTATATGAAAAAATTAGTTTTTATTACAATATATATTTTTAAATCATTTTTTAATGAATATTTACATAATTTAATATTTTACACTTACCAAAAATTTTAAAAAGTACCAAAAATACATTATTTTCATGTTTATGGTAAGCTGACATTATGTGTGAATGTATACATATAACATAGTATGCTTGTAAGGATTCCAAGCGACCTATTTGAAATAGTATACCTCTTTGATATTTCATGGTGTATTATAAAACAGGAATCTTGAATGTTATTGTAAATTAAATTTTTGTTTATATATATACATAATATATAGATTTAATAAATACATAAAAATTTTAAAATATATGTTATTAATTTATTATAATATTTTTACTAGAATTTTCATAATTTTTTGTAATTTCATATATTTATGATTTTATTGCATAGGTGCTCAAGCATTTTCTCGGAAACATCCTCTATCATGTTGGCTTTCCACAATGTTAGTAGTGTTTGCAAGTGGTATGCTATGCAATGGTCTTTTAGGAGAGCCAATTCTTGCACCTTTGAAAAATACACCACAAGTGGTAGTAGCGACCATTGTTTGGTTAGTATAAAATAATATAAAAAGAAAAAAATAGTTTGTTAATATTTTCCCATAATTTTTGTAAAGATATACTATAAGAAATACTTGTATGTGAAGTTAATTTTTTAATTATACAGGTATGTGATATTTTATACACCATTTGATATTGGATATAAGATTGCCAAGTTTTTACCAGTAAAAATTATATGTGCTACAATGAAGGAAATATATAGGTAAGTAAGTACTAATAAGTAACTGCTTATTTTTTATCTTATTCTTTCAATTGATATTATTAATTTTTTGTTGCAATATATGGCTATAATTTTTCCATACTATACAGGTGTAAAAAGGTGTATGATGGAGTAACTCATGCAGGGAAACTTTATCCAAATGCATACCTTATTATGGTGTTAATTGGAACACTTAAAGGTAGGTTTTAATATTAAAAAATGAAAGAAAAATAATAGTGGAATAAAAAATGATATTATTTGTGTTTAATTATAGGAAATGGAGCAGGTTTTACGAAACTTTTTGAGCGCCTTATACGAGGAGTTTGGACTCCTACTGCCATGGAATTTATGCAAGCTAGCTTGTATGTTTATTCTTTATTTTTTTGTATCTAGTAAAATTTATAAAATATTAATATTTTTGTATAACAAATAATGTATAATATTTTACTGTTTAGCCCTACAAAAGCATCAATGGTTGCATCCATTATTTTCGTCCTAGATAAAAAGACTGATCTCATCTCAGCACCTCATGCATTGGTTTACTTTGGAATCGTTATTTTCTTCGTGTATTTCAAGGTATTAGAAATTTATTATTTTTTTTTTAAATGAAACTTAATTTATAATTTGTTCACTACTAAATGAACCATTACTGATGTTATTTCAGCTATCGTCCATTTTGCTTGGAATTCATGATCCTTTCGTACCATTCGAAAATTTGTTCTGTGCGTTGTTCCTCGGAGGAATTTGGGATTCGTTAGCCAGATTGCTGGGCCGAGGCCAAGCTAAAGACGAGAAAGCAGATGCCAAGAAAAAGGACTAAATGTTTGTAAACTCATCTATGTAATATTAGATAATACTACGCGTAATTTTACTATTACGTAATTTCAACATACGTAAAGTCTATCGTGTTTGCGCCATACAACATTTAAAGTATTTATTTCTTCATTTTTCTTTTTCAATAGGTACTTATAGAATCCCTCCAAAACCGATGTTAATATCAGCAATGATTTGCTAAAAATTAGTGAATGGAAATAATTTACATTAGTCAGACGATATTCGCATATTAAGATGTGATCATGGACAAATCATTAAATATTGGAAGTACAATAATTTATTGTTATACATATTTTAATAATGACAAGTGATATGTGTTGGAGAGTACGACTTCTATTATTAAGAATACCAACAGTATTATCTCTGTTGACAACAACATGCTAAGATAATTGTCTCTCCATAATTGATTGGACGATTTTATACAAGTAACATTACATAACAAATAAATTCGTTATCTTTTATAAAAAATAAAGCGATTGTTCTTAAGAACGATAACAAATTTGCGCAAATGCTAAAGTATCTCTTGTTGATTTTTTAATAATCTATGTATGTATATATATATTTATATATATATATAGATTTTATATATATATATATATAGATGTTTTAATGATTGAATTTAAAAACGTTGTTGATATAACAGTTTGTAGAGTGAAGTGCGATTTTTAAATGTATATTAAACAATGTTTAATTTAAAGTATCTTAATTTTGGTATGCATCTTGTGTGAACGAATAATTACCAATTTGTCTTGTAATGTTTATCAGTAAGAAACGCACGTAGGTTAACGAATTTAAGCGTTAAAATAATTTTAATGCATATTCGAACAACAAGACTTTTGAAAACAAAATGGATAACGAAGATGACGAAAATATAAAAATAATTAAAAAGGAAACCTCTTTTATACTGTTTTATTATAATTAGTATTTAACGACAATTGGTATTTACCACACACACATATTTGCCTTTGACTCAACGATGTGAATATAATTTACTGTGAAAATTAAATAACGTAATTTTCATATAATATTCCAACTGACAGACCGTTATACATTTTCATGTAATAAAATGAAGTTTGTTCTTCTATGCTCTTTTATTAATTTACTGTTTTCCTATGCTATAAAGTTATAAAATAATTTCAAACATATCATTTTTAAGAAAAATGTTTAAAAAATATAACATTAAGAAAGGTTAGAGAGAAAAGAAACATTGGATCAAGGTCATATTAAATCACATATTTTCCAATTATACTAAATATGTATAATATATACATATTTTTTGTTATCAAATTTTGAACATCATTGTCAATAATATTGTTAAAATACAGACAAGATCAGTTCTTAGAATATTTAATTATTTCTTTCTGCAATACATATAATTTCGTGGTCTCACATACATCGGAATATTCGGATTAGTAACATTAGAAAGTACATTAAAGTTTGCTACATCGGTCCAATCATAAGATGTTTTTTTCTTACAATGTTTATCACATATATCATTTTTGTACACATGATAATTATCGATTACTTTATTTTCGCGTTCTTTGTGAAAAATAGTACCCATATTAAATTCATTTGATTTTCTACAAATAATAGGTGGAATACAAGTTGGTCGACCGCATGTTTCTATACGTTTATCTATACATTTTTTTTTTAAATTTACATCCCTTCTAATAGTTAACGTTTCTTTATCTGATCTTACTACTGCTTGACTTTCATTGCATTTAATAACTCGAACCAGTATAGGATCTCGTTTTTGAGTACCTACATTTATTTTTTTTCTTATACCCTTTTCATATTTTGCGAAATATGTAGGATCTTCTAGCAATTGAGAATTACTTTGAATCATCATGTCATGCTTAGGCAGCTGCATTAATGATTTATTGATACCAACATCTTTGTAATTCAAATGAGTATAAACTTCTTTGTCTATCATCGAACGCTTCGCGTTTTCTAACAGTAATGTGTCATCCCCTATGGTACTCTGACTTTTATCCTTTGTTATGATTGTGGACTGGAAAACTGGTTCAGTGATACTTTCTTCAGTCATTATTAATTTATTCTCATAAATGGTCAAAGAGTTAATTTCACTAAAACTTGACTTTTCTGTAATTTCTTGCAAAGATGATTTTATTTCAGATTTTTTATGAAATTTTTTTGTATCATTTTTGGTAATACCTGGTTCCAACATTTCCATGGTATATTCTTTGATTGCTGTTACCATTTTTGTTGCATCAATCGAACAATTCCCTTTCAGATGATATTTATATTTATCTGAAATCAACACTCGTTACATCGCGAATATGGTTAGCTTCAAACTTATTGCTTTGCTCAATTTTATACCTTGTGTTCTGTTTTCGTGTATAGATAATATATTCTGTAAAAGTTCTTGTAAAACTGACATCATATTAGGATCCTCTTTACTAAGATGTAATATATTTAGTGGACATGTATTTATTGTACATACATCTTCAAATTCTTGTGCTATTAATTAAAATAACTTTATATTGATACATATCTTGTTATGTAACGTTGCATAAATGTCGCATATAATATTAATGTTGTATATATTATTATACTACATTTTACAAAATCGTGAAGTAAACATTTAACTGAAATGCTTACTTTTTTTTTCTACAAAATGTTTAAAATCCTTATCTTGAACGCAATGTTTAATAGAATTATACGATTTGGATGGAGTTAAAGATTTTTCTTGAAACCTGCACTGTACGAAGTTCGATTTAAATTCTTTAGCATTTGCCGCCGTTATGCAACCAATGCTACGAACTTGATGCAGAGACATAGTAGTTCCAAATTCTATCATCTTTTCTGAAGACATACAGTAAGCTAAATTTCCTCGTGATACACAAATGGTACTCTGTATTTCTTTCGAAACATAATCCACTATATTTACAGCTACTTCCTTCTCTTCTTTTTTTTGACCCAGTTCATTTAAAGTTTGAAGTGAAATGCATACTTTTGTATCATCAGATATACAAACTGTATTCTGTATTTGTTTTTCTATATAATTCGCTGTATTGACACCTATTTCATTTTTCTTTTTCTCAGGAACAATGTAGTTGGAAGAGGATTGGGTTTCCTTTGCAGACAATTTTAATCTTGCACATTGTATCGATTTTGTGCTTCGAGAGATACATTCTGTTACGAAGGTATTCGAGCCTAAGTGTTTATGTAAATCTGATAAAATAATCTTTTGGGTGGAAGTTCCTATGGTACTACATTGTACTTTATTTTCCCTTATAGGATCGAGCTGTACAAATTGCATTTGAATCGATGTAGGTGCTGGAATATTATCTTTTACAACTTTTTTCAAGTCTTCGCTATATTGTATTTCTACATCTGCATATTGTATTTTTTCAGGAACTTTTGACAGATCTTGTAAAATTTCGAAATCACCAGAATTATCTATATATCTTTTTGCGTATTCCGATAGATCTGTAATTCCCAAGCATTGATAAGGCAGATCTGGATAAGATAAATGTTAACTTTTTTTCAAATCTATTTACATACTGTCTCGTGTAACTCTATCACATCCGATACACGTAGTATACATTTCATCAGGAAGATTTGTATTATATCTAGAACAGGGAATATAATCTCTCGTGTTTTTCTCAGTTCTCTTATATTTAGCATCTTTCCAGCCACATAGAGGACATTTTAAAAATGATGATTCATAATTTTCAACATTTCTTGTTGTTAAAGGAAAAGAACTATTAAATCTAGAATCCATAGATGTGCTTGGTATAGCCTCAGAATATTCTATTTAAAATTATAAAAAATTAAATCATTTATATCCTATATTTCTTTTCCCTGAATTATTTGTTAAACCATTGTTTACCGGTAATTTTAGACTTAGTATCTTTAGTAGGTTTGTAACTCAAAAGTGCATCTTCTATCTGATCTCTTAAATTAACTTCTTTTTTTTTAAACTGCGGACAAGGAACGTATCTTACTTTCTTTTCACTTTTCTCTTTTATTATAACTTTCTCTGTTGATCTAAGTTTCTCGTCCAAATGACATGATTTCTCCACCGATTTGCTTCTTCTTGAGAACTGATCGCAAGTTGTTTCATTGCACGGACGAAATTTTAAAAATTTTGCGGTCGCTCCCATTTTCTCTTTCCGCTGTGAATTATTTATATTGTCACTGCTTATGGATCTAAAAACAGCAGTGGCTTCCCGTTGCTGAGTTTTTTCCTCATCATCGATTACTTTCGTCAGCATCTCTCTCATTATTTTATACCAGGAAGACGGTGCTTTATATTGCTTTTGACATTGCAAACTTTTAATCATTTGCATTTGTTCCAGTTTGTATCTATATCAATGAAAATTGTAATCTTCACAAATTATGCGCATAAATTTATTAGGATTAAGAAGACAATTATTTTTTTATAGAAGCTATTTCTTTTTTAATAACTTTTTATAGTGAAAACATTTTATTTTGGTATTTAAAACATTATACTAAATATAAATTTTTGCTGCCTGAAGATCACAATATATATTGTGAATATTACATAATACCTTGAAAGAGATATTTAATTTAAACATTTCCTATAAATAATCAATTTAATTAAAAACAATAAATATTTTAAGTTAAATTTTGATAAATAAAATATACTGTATATTTTCCTTCGTAAAATAGTATGAATTGTGATTATTAAATGCAAAGTAATCATTTTATTATCTAAATAAACAAATTCCACTCATTCAAAGCATTTTTTGTTTTCCTACTTATTTCCTTTAAAATATTCAGTACCAAAAATTCCGATCGTACATTACTTTTCTTTTATGCTCTTGATTTGATGTATATAATCATTTACGGTAAAACCGGGTATATCAAGGTCTTTGATAATTTTCTGCAATGCTCTGTTCTTCTCGTAGCAATTATAATAATCACGGTGATAGGGGTTCCAGAGACATGGATGTTGCTTATATGATTTCAAAAAATTCATAACCAATCTCTCATTCCATTTACATGACATTTTGTAATAAATATATACGCTATTAACGACGATATTTTAGTAGAATATTTCAATGAAAATGTGATTTTATTACATTTATAATTTTGTGCCCACCTAAATTATAAAGTCAGTTTCGGTTAGACAACACAACTGAATTTGATTGCTCGATATATCGAACGAAAGCATTTGTCAAATCACTTTACATTACTTTATTAATTTTACTGCAACCCTATACATTAATATTATAAATAATATTTTATATATGTTTAATGTATTATACCAGAGATTTTTTTAAAGTATTAAAGTTTTAAAGTGATTCGTAAAAGTGATATCTATTATTTACAATTGAAGTTGCAAGAAGAATTCGTCTTGATCATAATAACCGGAAGACCACAGCTACAAATCATTTTCTTATTTAAGACTTCACACTCGCTACAACTAGGAGGTGTATAACACTCTAAATATTTCGATTTCACGTTATATAGACGTTCATGTGCAATTACATCCTGTATGCGTTTCTCCAATTTAGTAGCAATTTCTAAAAACAAATATCTCAATAACCATCTCTATAATATTTTACAGCATTGATATTCACCAAAATTTATATTTCGCAATTGAAACGCAATACTCTTGCCGAACATATCGAATTCGTCAGTTTTCCTTTTTCCTTTAATACCTTTCTCCAGAGCATAATCCGTGCAAGTAGTATCTTTCTGAAAATTGTTTCATTTATTTAATATAATTTGTCGATTTTTTAAGTTTAAACTACCTTAGTTTTAAAAGTTTTAAACTTAAAAATTTATATTTATCTTCATTGTTTGAACTTAAAATAAAAATCTATTTACCAGATTATTTTTCATTAATGCAGTCGTACAATTTGCAGTATTAACAGATACATTATCCTTCATGCATACTTGACAAGCTATACATACGGTTTTGAAATAAGATACTTTGGTTTGCGTTGCGTCCTCCACATTAATCCTTCTGTTCGTATTGTTTCCAACGTCGATTCGAATTACTTTTTGTAAACGTGGGTGTAAGTAATTTCTGCAATCAGTAGCTGTTGTTTGTAGAGTAGTTACTCCGTCGTCTTCCACTCGAATAGAAAATGACTTTTCTTGTTTTCTAAGTAGAAAATGTTTCAACATATTGTTTAGTAATATACTAATGTCATATAAATGAAATAAGTTACTTTAGACGAGTACGAGGTTTAGTTGTATTCAATTTATCACAATAACAAGTTACATTTGGACAATTGCAGTTTTTACTTAATACTCTTGATTCTACAGAGTTCGAATGTGTTAATTGATTGTGTGTTTTGTTACAGTGGTAATCTCCAAAAGTGTCTGTTTTATCATTGCATATCTAAGATCGTCGAGATAATTACTATAAATAAACAGAATTGGTATAATGTGCTTTGTTATAATTAAGTACTGATATGCACCTTATAGGAATCACTCGCGTAACTGTAAGTTGCTACAAATGGAAAAAATAATTGGTGTATTATTGGAAACCAGCTCGCTGACGGTTTATAAAACTTCTCGCAAGATATCGCAGTACGGATTTTAGACAATTCGTAACAGTATTGAGCTTTTAGATAAGTAATCTTTTTAATGCAATCGTAAATTGTTAAACCGCAAATATTCATAGAATCTACGATCTCTTTGTAAGCTTTGTAACGACATAATTTGTTTTTAAAATTCGGATGTAATGGATTTCTTAAACACTCATATTTGCTATAAAAAGTTATTAATCTCAATATTAGACTTTCGTTCCATGCAACTGGCATGATAAATTGCTTCAATCATTTGTAACATAATCAGGTTATTTAATCTTTCACTTCCATAAATGCCACTTTTTACATGTTATGAAAGCTTTATGTACATATATTGAGCTTATATTAAAATTCGTAGCGAAAATTTGTGCGTTGGAAAAATACAATGAATGAAATACGATTAGATTATACATTATACATAAGTAAAATTCAAGGAAGTTACTAGAATTTAGAAAAATATATATGAAAAAAATGAAAGAATCCATGAAATATCTGGTCTCTTTAACTATTGATTTTTTTCATAAATGTACATAGATAGTGAAATAATAAAATGAATAATTCATAACACGTGTAACTAGCAATATACAAAGATCAAAAAATTTATTCAGCCATGTTTGTTGTTAAAAGCATCATTATAACAGTATCTTACAGATTAAATTACTTTAAATTACTTCTGTACGAAATAAGAATTATTTTTAACCATAAATTCGATGTAATATGTTCTCGATTACAGACTAGAACCAGCGGCAAATAAAACGAAATCTAACGCTCTGAAGCTAGCATTTTTGTAAAAATATCTTTTTATTCGTGAACTGTTGTCTTTTATACTAAATAATTTGATTTTATGAAAAATATTATTTTATATCCTAAACAAATTTTCTATTATTAAAGTGTACGTGCAACTATAGCTTCAAAGCATTGAAATATGTGAATATATAACAAAAACGTACATATACAACCACGAATATGATTAATTTATCACATATTCTGTGACTTTACATTCTAAAACAACCTATACTCAATGCGAAAAATATTACCATTTCTTGTATCATGCGTCATTAACAAAAATATACATTTTGCACCTAATACAAATAAGTTTGTATGATTAACTTTGTTACTTATGTAACATCATATTATATACAATGATATTCTTTGTATATAACAATTATACATGTTTCTTTTTATAATTATTTATTGTTAATATTATCTTACTTATCTTACTATATTATTTGTTCTATCAATGTAATCTTACGAAGAAGGCTCAATAGTCGAGGCCATTGCAGGTAATTGTTGAGGTACAAAATTTATAACTTCACGATAAACGAGTTCTAAAAATAAATTATCCCGTTATTAATATTAATAACTATTTTTACAAAATGTACTAAAACGACAACATGTACCTTTCCATTTTTCGACAGGTAAATCCATATCTTCGAAACTCTGATCGTATGGCGAAGATACCGGTTCATCAGTTGGATCGGCATACTGTGCAAGATATGGATGAGCTAAAGCTTGTTCTGCAGTAATTCGTTTCTCTGCATCTAATTCTAACATTAATTCAAGTAAATCTATAGCTGGAAAATAATATAAAATACGTTAATGTAGTGTAAAAATTATTTATACATTTTTATATATAAAACTTTTAATTTCATAATTACCTAAAGGATTGGCTCCACGAAAAACTTCTTTGAAGTTCTTCTTTTTTAGGGGAGGTAAACTTTGAATGTAGTTTCTTGCCTAAAACAATGAATTTACTTATCAGTTTTTAATTTTTATACAACATTTTCTGAAAATATTTTTCAAAAATTATGCATATAATACCTTATAAATGAATTATGTAATTTTCTATATTTTATTTTACTTATAGCATTTTATCTCTATTATGAGGTTTTATTTTATTATTTTTATTATTCATATATAATATAATATAAACTGGAAGCAAAATCATTAGGTACAAAATTATTTTAATATTATAGCAAAATACTATATAATCCAAATAAATATCGGTAAAAGATTTACGAAAAAATAATCGAAAAAGTAATTGAAAAAGATTGCAAAAATATTTATCTAAAAAAAATTACCTCTTGGCTGGTAATTTTGCTTAAAGTTTCCTCTGTGGGTGTACCACAGAGTACTAAGACTCGTGTTAGATGATCAATGTCTGCTTAAAGTTAAGGTATATTTGAAGCATAATTTATTATATAGGAATGGGAAAAATTTTAAAGGAATGAATTAAAATTGTGTTTATTTTAAGCATTTGTTAGCATTCCAAAATAAAAGATGTAATATATATGGGAATAACATATATACCAAATGAATTTGTAAATATTATAAAGTAACAATTTTAGTCATATATAGTGAAGTCTGTTGATTAGGAAAATATATAAAAATTTATAGAAAATATGTAACATGCGAGGCATTTATATCGCAACATGTTATAAATGAGCAGCATGCACTATATAGGCTTCTTCTATGAATAAATTGTCATATTGCAACTCAAAAATTACTTACCGACTCTGACGATATTTTTTGCATAAACTCGTCTCGTGGAGTACCCAGTATTTCCATTATTAAGTTCAGTTGGTGTATATCTGCTCTTGCTAAGGTTCCACCACACCTTTTTCTACTTTCACTAAATACTTTGATTATTATATGAATATAACAAGTAATATGACTTCGTGCATTAAAGCATATTAAATAATATGTACACATATGTATGACTCTTTGTTTGTAAAATAAAAAGTAACTTCCCTTGCTATAAAACAAAAGCTAAATCAAAGCAGTTTTTGCCAGCTGGCAAATAAAATATAATGTAATTAATATATTAGTAAAATAAGTAAGTAATAATAGTAGATTAAAGCAAGAAAGAAGCCATGTAGAGCCTTAGCAAAAAGCACATTTTTTCTAATTCTGAGATGGTTAAAGATTCGTAATATTCGTTAAATAATTATGGAAACAGGTTTATGTGCATATAAGTACCATATAATTAAATGGAATTCACAAACATTGATTTTGATTATTAAACATCAATATTCAAAGAGATCAAAAAGCATGATTGTAAAAAGGATACGATCTGTTCCTGGAAACAATGTTCTTCCTGTTAGCAGTTCTGCCATTATACATCCAACTGACCAAATATCAACTAAAATGCATAAGAATTATACTGTTATGTATTATAAACAAAATACAAAATATTTATCAGGAGAAAAATGATAACCACCTGTTTGATTGTAATGCATCCAATTCAGCATAATTTCTGGAGCTCTATACCATCTTGTAGCAACATACCCAGTCATTTCATTTTCTGTAGGCCTGGCCAATCCAAAATCTAAAATTTTCAGCTCACAATCCTCATTTACAGCTATGTTAGAAGGTTTCAAATCCTGAATTTTATAAATAATGCATTTAAACTATATAATGTTATATTTAAATTGCTATCATCATTTGTATTACTTTACCCTATGTATTATACTCGCAGAATGAATATATTTGAGACCACGAAGGATTTGATAAACAAGAAATTGTACATGATCATCCGAAAGTTTTTGAGTTCTTACAATATTATTGAGATCTGCACCCATCAGATGCGTAACTAAATATCTATTAAAAGTATATGTCATTACTAAAACATGATAAGAAATTATAAGCAAGAGATTAAAGAAAGATAAGCAAAACTGTACAGAATTATAAAAATACTTACACCTGCTGAAAATCTTCTAGAGAAGAAGATGGATGAAATACATCTAATAAACCAATTACCTATAATAAATGATATGTTTATTTTATTGTACAATTCATTGATTTTAAGCTTTATATGTTAATAATAATATAAGACTCATCATAAGGTATTCTTAAATTTAATGCCAAGACAAAGTTTCTAAATTCATTAATTTCTACAGTGCCAACTTCAAAAATATGTTACATATATATATATATATATATATATATATATAACTTATATTTTTGCACTCACATTTTCATGATTCATGTGCTTTAACATACGAAGTTCTCTATATGTGCGCTTTGCATGTACAGCTGATTGGAATGGTCTGGCTAATTTTTTTATAGCTACTTTCTGTCCAGTTGTTGTGTCAACTGCTGAACTAAAAAATCATACACATTATTTAAATATATATATATATTTGTTTTATCTGATTTTTATTACAATTTATGTTTATAATAGAAAACTTAAATTTTTATAACAATTGTGTTTATATTACTTTCAAATTAAATTACATACATATTTAATTTTTATCTTAAAAATTCTAATGCATTTTATGTAATTAAAAAATAATTATTGTATAACGAAATAAAGGTTAACGAGATTATTTATTAAATAACTTACATCAAAGTTATTTTAAATATAACAAAATAAAACTCCTAACATTTTTCTCGTAAAGGAACATCGAATAATACATATCATTAAATTCATCTTCGTGGAAAAGCATTGTCAAATAATTCTAATTTTAGTTTGGCCCATAATATAGAATGTGACGATCGCGGAATACTTGTGCGAGCTGCTGCAGTCGTAACTTTTATTTGATAATTGCATATAAATTTTAATTATAAAAAAAAAGAAAAATTATTCATGATTTTGAACGAAATAACGAATGATAGAAATGTCAAGGTTATGATTGGTTCATGGTCACAACCAAATCCTGAATTATTAACAAGAATCGGAGCGGGATCATTTAAACATTATAGACAATTGCTCGAATAGGCAATAATCAAAAAAAAACTTTGTGTTGAATACATTGTTTAAATATATAATTTTATGTTATTAAAATTGTTTTTTTTCCTTACCACACTTGACCGTAAGCTCCTGATCCCACTGGAGTGAGCATTTGATACCGTTCCGGAACCTCCCATTCGGTCCTATTTATTTCGATTTTATGAAACTGCGGCATGCTACATACAATTTCTCACTCACGCCGCTTAACAAAACTTCACAAGAACACGAAAATAAGCACAAACACTTCGCGTTAACGTTTGGAACAGTAGTTTACAGACACTTCATGCATTTCCAAATTAGCCCACTATTAAAAACTACTACATCTATCATGTATAGGTCTTTCACAGTCGACTCTATTGATCGATACAATATTGAAATTTTTGTTAGCGAGTAATCGATTTCTTTTTCTCGATACTTGTTTTTCATCTACTGAGTAAACGACGCTCCAATTACAGTTTTTCATTTTGTAAAATTTGATAAGATGCATGTCATTGTATTATCACATATAATAAAGATTATTTATTAAAATAAAATAAAATTAATAATAATCCGCAGATATTTATAATAAAAAATTTAATTACACATTATAATAAGAATTTAATTTATATAAATAAGTCATAGAATAATATTCATAACTAGGATAATTATAAATATTTTTTAGTAAATACACAACATATCGATATTAATATCGATGAATTCATCTTTTGTGTGTTATTACTTACACATCGCATTTTGTTTTTATGTATTCAGTGATATGTAGCTGTTCGTAGTAATTTCCTTACTTCACTGTCTCTTTCTACGTAACTAGTGACATTAGTAAATGACGTATTAAAATTTGTTAGAAGCACGGTTTTTCGTGGCTAAGTAAATATGAGTATAAATGACGGAGAAGCAATTGAATGTGAGCCTTCGATTAGAAACGTAATTGAGCAACGGTCTTTACGATGGATATTTGTCGGGGGTAAAGGTGGAGTTGGCAAAACGACATGCAGGTACCATTATAACCTCTGACACTCATTTGTTTATTGCAATTTCATCATTATATTCATATTTTAATTTATAGTTGTTCATTGGCTATACAATTATCAAAAGTCAGAGAAAATGTGCTCATTATATCTACCGATCCCGCGCACAATATTTCCGATGCGTTTGATCAAAAATTTAGTAAAGTTCCCACAAAGGTAAAAGGTTTTAATAATCTTTTTGCTATGGAAATAGATCCAAATGTAGGCATAACTGAATTACCGGAAGAATATTTCGAAAGTGAAGCAGGTATTCTGTTTTGTTAATATTGAATTTTTATATTATAATTTATATTTGTGCAGTTTTAGTCTTAGTTTGACAAATAAATGTACACGTAAGTTACTTCACAAAACAGTTTCAGGGGGAGAAGCTATGAAATTAAGTAGAAGCATAATGCAAGAAATTTTGGGAGCATTTCCTGGTATAGATGAGGCAATGAGTTACGCAGAAGTTATGAAGTTAGTGATTAACTATACAATTATTTTGTAATATTTGTAACTAATATAATTACATATATATACATATATAAACATACACATTTATACATTTATAGTAGTAACAACAAATTGTTACATGTATATGTATATTTTTAGACTAGTTAAGGGAATGAATTTTTCTGTTGTTATTTTTGATACTGCACCTACTGGTCATACTTTGAGATTGTTATCATTCCCACACGTGGTAGAAAAAGGATTGGGAAAATTAATGCGTTTAAAGATGAAAATTAGTCCCTTCATTACACAGGTATGAAAGATTTAAAACAATCAATTTAGTGAATAACAATGTTATTTATATTAGTAACATTAATCTCAAAATTATTTAACTATAGATTACTTCATTGCTGGGTATGATTGACTTCAATGTAGATACATTTTGTAACAAGATAGAGGAAATGCTTATTATTATTCGCCAAGTTAATGAACAATTTAAAAATCCTGATCAGACAACATTTGTTTGTGTGTGCATAGCAGAATTCTTATCACTTTATGAAACAGAAAGACTTGTACAAGAATTAACAAAATGTGGTATAGACACTCATAATATCATAGTAAATCAACTTTTATTCTTAAAAGAAGGAGATGTACCTTGCAGGCTTTGTCTTGCTAGACATAAAATACAAGATAAATATTTAGAACAGGTAAATCAAAGTATTGTAGTTTATCATGTTTCATATAGAAATTGAAGAAATTCATAGAATAATTTTTTTTTCAGATAATAGATCTTTATGAAGATTTCCATATCACTCGACTTCCTTTATTAGAAAAAGAAATTCGAGGATCCCAACACATCAAGGAATTTTCGGAAAATCTTGTTAAACCATATAAACCTTAACGTCTGTACATTTAACATGTCATAAGAATACTTAACTTTGTCATGTACTCAAAAGTTTTTTTAAACTAAAGATATTTTATACATGATGAAATTTGTATAAAAGGTAATGCTTTTATTTATAATATTTAATAGAAGCAATTTACCTTTGCATGTATTAAAAATTTCAGTTTGGTGTACTTGTACATTAAAACTTATTTGATCAATCACATTGTGTAAATTTTATTTTTGTTTTTTACATCATCAATTTAACTAAATAATTATCTTTAAAAATGTCAATTTAATAGAATTTTTTTTCGAAATAAAAATCATTTAATAATTTTTAGTTTTCTCGCATTATATACAAATGCATTTATAGCATGTTCTATGTCATTTTGTGAATGTGCAGCACTGATTTGAACGCGTATTCGTGCTTTACCTTTTGGTACTACAGGGTAACTAAAACCAGTGACATAAATTCCTTGTTCTATATAGAAAAAGATAAAAAAAATAATTATTATACATATATTGAAAAAGATTAATACATTATAAAATATATCATAAATATTTACCCATCATTTTATCAGCAAATTCTGTGGTCAATCTTGCATCTCCTATCATAATAGGACAGATAGGATGATTATCACCACTAATTGTAAAACCAGCTTTTTTCATATTACTTCTAAATAGATTAGTGTTACTTTTTAAACGATCCAAAATTTCTGTAGAGTTTATTATTAAATCCATGACCTGTATAAATATGAAAAAAATGTAATCATTGTTTTACTTCTTTTAACCATTACTATTTATCAGATAAAAAAAAGTATGAAAAATTAATATTTTTTGGTATACCTTACTTGCTGATGCAACTACAGGGGGTGGTAATGAATTGGAAAATAAATATGGTCTGCTACGCTGCCTTAATAAATCAATGAGTTCCTTTTTACCAGTTGTGTAACCACCTGCTGCTCCACCTAAAGCTTTGCCCAGTGTAGAGTTAATAATATCAATGCTTCCTAGTTGATTAAAATAATCTTCTGTGCCTCTATAATTAAATTACTTAATAATTAATATTATATATTAAAATAAATATTACTATAGTTGATATATGTTATTCGAAATAAAAATCATTTAATAATTTTTAGTTTTCTCGCATTATATACAAATGCATTTATAGCATGTTCTATGTCATTTTGTGAATGTGCAGCACTGATTTGAACGCGTATTCGTGCTTTACCTTTTGGTACTACAGGGTAACTAAAACCAGTGACATAAATTCCTTGTTCTATATAGAAAAAGATAAAAAAAATAATTATTATACATATATTGAAAAAGATTAATACATTATAAAATATATCATAAATATTTACCCATCATTTTATCAGCAAATTCTGTGGTCAATCTTGCATCTCCTATCATAATAGGACAGATAGGATGATTATCACCACTAATTGTAAAACCAGCTTTTTTCATATTACTTCTAAATAGATTAGTGTTACTTTTTAAACGATCCAAAATTTCTGTAGAGTTTATTATTAAATCCATGACCTGTATAAATATGAAAAAAATGTAATCATTGTTTTACTTCTTTTAACCATTACTATTTATCAGATAAAAAAAAGTATGAAAAATTAATATTTTTTGGTATACCTTACTTGCTGATGCAACTACAGGGGGTGGTAATGAATTGGAAAATAAATATGGTCTGCTACGCTGCCTTAATAAATCAATGAGTTCCTTTTTACCAGTTGTGTAACCACCTGCTGCTCCACCTAAAGCTTTGCCCAGTGTAGAGTTAATAATATCAATGCTTCCTAGTTGATTAAAATAATCTTCTGTGCCTCTATAATTAAATTACTTAATAATTAATATTATATATTAAAATAAATATTATTATAGTTGATATATGTTCATACTGTAATTTTGAAACAAAAATGAAAAGTATTAATTAATAAAAATTACATAAAAAATATATTAAAATAAACATAACTACCTTCCACTATTTCCAAAAAATCCAGTAGCGTGACAGTCGTCTACAAATGTAAGAGCACAATATTTCTTTGCAAGTTCTAGTATTTTTGGTAGTGGTGTGACAGTACCATCCATAGAAAACACACCATCAGTTGCAATCAGTCGCAATCGCGATGACATACTATCCTGCAGCTTATTTTCTAAATCTACCATATCTCTATGCTTGTACCTTAACAAAATATTATATATCTTTATACAAAGTAAAATATGGAAATCATAATAGTTTTACTCATTCACCTGTGTTTTTTTGCTTTACACAATCTGATGCCGTCAATGATAGAGGCATGATTGAGCTCGTCACTTAAAACAGTATCTTCGGATGTTAATAATGTCTCAAATAATCCAGCATTTGCATCAAAACAAGATGCATAGAGGATAGCATTTTCTCTGCCGTGAAATCTAGCAATTTTTTTTTCTAATTCAACATGAATTTCTTGCGTACCACATATAAACCTTACAGAACTTAAACCTGCTCCATATTTATCTAAAGCAATTTTTGCAGCAGAAATCACTTCATTATTGTCCTAAATGGAAAAACGGAAAAATTTGATTAATACAATAAAAAATTATATTATTAATAATACTACTTACTGATAAACCTAGATAATTATTTGCACAAAAGTTTAAAGCTTCTATTCCATTTTTTAATACAATTCGTGCTCGTTGAGGCGACGCAATTACTCGTTCCTTCTTCCAAGTACCAGCTGCTTCTATAGCTTTTAATTCTAGTGTTATAGACTCTATTAAAAGACTCATAGATCTTGCTAATATCCATTTCTTTTTACTAAATTTTAAACCTGTTAAGGGAAATAAACTTTTAAAAATACTATTTTTGTTAACAAGTATCATTAAATTAATATCTAATAAAAAGAAAATACTTTTAAGAATGCAATTCATATTTTGATGCAGTGTTCAATTTGTGGTATAGTCCAAATGTATGCTGAATGTTGTCTGACTCTGAAGAAGTGAAAGTATAATGAACTAGTCAAACCTGTTAAGATGTATAATGATCTTCAATTTCTGCATATTTTTATTTTATACAAGATTATCTCTATGTAATTTTTCACAGTATATGTGTTACTTAAAATTATGTTGAATAAAATTTGATAAAACGATTTTGTACCTATATTTACTATTTAGGTAAAAATAAAAACCATTGATTTTTTCCATCTCGTTTATTTTACAAGCTTTTTACATTTCGTCCTTATATTTGCATTTAAATAACCATTAATAAATATTTATTATGCTCTATCATTTAAATGGTTTTTTCACTAAGTTTTTTGCATTATCTAACAAATGTTTTTGTAGTACTAATATTTGGCAAATAATTTTTTGCACTTTTTAACAAGAAAACGTTTAAAAACTTTTGTTACTACCTGTACTATATACTTACTTTAATTTTCGTATATGTATAATCAAAATTACATTAGAGTAGGAATATTACATACTATGTACCGTAAGTACGATAACAACATTAAACAAAGTATTAGATTTGCATTTAAATAAAACTAGCATTCTAATGTTCTATACACAATTGGGAATTATTATCTTTATTACTAAATACATTAAATATTCTGTACTTGCTTAAATTTGCCAGTCTTTTTTAGTCATAAATTGCATTCTGAAATCTCACTATTTGGTCTGTTATTACTTGGTCTTAATTATCACATATTCTTATATAATAATTTATCAAATAGAACAAGTAGTGTCTCTTGTAAATAACTCTGCTATTTGTATTATTTTTTATTCGGAAGAGGAGATACGTGGACGAAAATTCAAGTTGAAATTAAAGAACTATATAACATTTTCAAATATCTAAGATAAGACATGTAGATAATCTTTAATTCAAGATTTATGCGAGTAATGTACATACAGTTCTGTTTGATCTTTACACCTACAACACTATATATTAAATTCATTAAAAAATGAATAGCGAATTTTTACAATGCAATAGAGAAACGTCGATATTTCATCGCAATTTCACGACGATTTATTTTTTATAGAGAATCGTGTTACTAAAGAATACGCGTGAGGAAAGTTGTGTACAATTACATAAATAATTCCCAAGTATATAATGATGGCAATTGTAAGAAAGAGATCAAATACAGCTGGTTTTACACTGAAATATAATAAACTATATTATCAACAAGGAACCACATCGATAATAAAAAATGAAAATAAAAAATTTACCTGTATACATTCAGTAATGCTTTTGTTACATCATAAAAGACAAATTCTGGATCTGGTTTATCAGGACTATGCAAAGTAACTTTAACATCTCCAAGATATCTGGCCATTACTTCTTTTAATGTACCAACTAACATATTATTTTTGTCTGCTAATAACGGAGCAGCTCTTGGTTGTGATGCTAAGTAACTGAACCATAAAGATAATGATTCTTTAGAAACATCCTGAAAAAGTAAAGTAAAGTAAAGTAAAGTAAAGTAAAGTAAAGTAAAGTAAAGTAAAGTAAAGTAAAGTAAAGTAAAGTAAAGTAAAGTAAAGTAAAGTAAAGTAAAGTAAAGTAAAGTAAAGTAAAGTAAAGTAAAGTAAAGTAAAGTAAAGTAAAGTAAAGTAAAGTAAAGTAAAGTAAAGTAAAGTAAAGTAAAGTAAAGTAAAGTAAAGTAAAGTAAAGTAAAGTAAAGTAAAGTAAAGTAAAGTAAAGTAAAGTAAAGTAAAGTAAAGTAAAGTAAAGTAAAGTAAAGTAAAGTAAAGTAAAGTAAAGTAAAGTAAAGTAAAGTACATGTAATAAAAAAATTCATCTCCTTATTATATAAAAGGTAAAAAATATGTACCAGTGGATCAGTGAAAATTTGACTAGAGCTTAAATTGTATATATGTCTTGCTAACGCTTCTGCGACTGTCTGAGTATGTTTAAATAGTCTGTCTATTTGTTCTGCTTGCATTACATCTAAGATTGTAGTTCTGATCGGATCTTCATGACTTTTTAAAGTGGACAAAGTCGTTGCCGGTAATCTACGAATACTGTATCTTTCATGTTCCCAAGCCAGTGTTTCCTCAGCTAAATTTATTTTTTTGTGTATACCTTCAACAGTAGTAACATTTAATGATTCAGACACAGCTTTTAATTCTTTGTAAAACAAACCACCTGTCGAATTTTCTTTGGGTGGTTTTGAGACATGTACATAGAGATGGTCACTAGTAGATATGGTGTCAAGACAAATGACATAAGCTGCATCCTAATAATCAAAACATTATATTATATTACCATTTAAAAATATAAAAAAATAGGCATAATAATAAAGATATTTAAATAATTAAGTTTAATACTTGTATTATTGAGCCTTCAAGACCATCTAATTGATCTTCCAACCATTTTTTACTGCCCTGATAATTAAGTTTGCCAGCACCAGTTACAATAAAGACAAGATTGTATTGCGGTCTTGATCTACTAGTTGAATACAGAGTAGAAAATAATCTTGCTATTTCCAATAACATTGCCACACCAGATGCATTGCTGTCTGCTCCAAAAGACAACTCCTATTTATTAGCAATAACATATATATACATACATACATTTTATTTCCATGATTCTAAACAACTATATAAATCAATAATTTACTTACAGGTGCAACACCTGCACTATCATAATGTGTTACCAAGGCTATAGTTGGCAACTTTTCTTCTGCTCCAGTACCAGTTAGTTTACCATGTAATGTAGCTACTTTAACATCTGTCTTAGCTAGTGCTTGTCCAGTTGCTACAACTACCTGGTAACCACTAGCAGATATAGAATTGAACATTGCTTCAGCTGCAGAACCAGCTCTTTCATCAGTAATGAAACCATTGGAGAGATCATCTAAGATTATTTGTAAATCGGGATGCCATGAAGTAAAATATACTGGAATTGTTGTTTCTGGTCCAAACAGCATAGATTCCTCCAGGTTCATAATATGCTATAATAAATAATACATCAATTACAATAAAAGATATAGCAAAAATAAATTTAATTAACCTGTTTCTCTTCCATTGTCAAATCAGTAAGATTCTCTGGCAAAACTACTATTAAAGCTCCAGCCTTGTCTTTAATAAGATGAAACAGACTTGGAGTAAGATCTAAAGCTTTCGTAACTACACAATGTCTGGAAGTGCTCCATCCGGTAAGAGATCTTGCTTCCAAAGAAATGGGTGCACTACGACAACCTAATCACAAATTGTAAATTAGATATTAATAAAGCCATAATAAAATGAAAATCAAGAGAAAAACATTTCATTACCATGTGGTACACCATGTAAGTCATATTGATGCATTCGATACAAGGGAAATTCATGAGATGCGGCAACTGGGTTAACCGGAGAGATAATAATAAAAATCGGCAGGATTATCAATAAATAGTACGGCAAATATCCTCGACATAGTTCAGCGAAACTATCACATTCTTCTAGCCACATATTTTTCTCTGATTTTACTTAAATATATTAAATAATGAAAAAATACAACTCCTAATTATTTTCATTGACTTATTACCATGCGACAATTCATTCCCCACTCATTCCTTCTCTACTTACGATAAAAGTTACATGCAACCACATAGAAGGTATAAAATCAACCATAAATAAAATATAAGACAGATTAAGCACTTAGTGCATTTTTGTGTTATAAGGTCTAGAATTCGTGAGTCTCTTTATCAATTTCGTGTCAGTTCCTATGTTACCGATTCAGTGTAGGAATAAAATGATTAAAACACTAGAAGTTGGAGTTAAAAATAAGTGTCACTACAATTTATAATTTTATTTATGAATTAGTATGTATATACACTATAAATGAGTTATTTAATTATTATAAATTTATGGTTTTAATATTGTCCGATTTATATAATTTACATTAGAAATCTAAATTACATTTAGGAAGCTCATGACATTTCTTTCAAAATATATAGGGATTCTTCATTTCTTGAACACTATTCAATTCGATACTTTGTGTGTCTATATTTTATAACGATTGAAAATGACTCTTAAAAACAGTTTATTATATTATGTATCATGTACATTTTAGAAGTGACTGTGTAAATGTGTATATTATAATTTCTTGTCAAATCTTTTGTAGTATTATTAGCAATTTGTTACCAAGTTGATTGTAAATGTTGACCGTGCATTCTTGAAGATACAAATGGATTCAATGGACGAGGATATGTTCGCATTAAGCGACGAGGAGTTACCAATATCAACTTCAAAATGCAATCCAGTAGAAGAACATTTAATGAAACAACTATCGGATGTGCAAACTCGAATCGAAAAGACAAGAAATGATATTAAAGACATTCAAGATATGACCAGACGTAATTTAGAATCTTTATACAATGAGGCTCAATATGGGAAAGATATAACTTGGGATTCTGACAGTGACGTGAGTTATTTAAAAGAGTAATAACAATAATGAAAAACACATCTTTTAATACTATCAAATAATTTCTTCTATCAGTTTGGAGAAGTATATTGAAAAATTCGTTTCGTTTTTAAATATTTCACGAAAGCGAAATATCTTACTATGCTTTTATTTAATACTAATTTAAAAAAAAAATTATATAAAATTACACATTAACGATAAATAAATTTCACATGTTATAATAATAAAAAATAATGGAAGAGGAAATGTGGTATATGATATTTAAAATAAGTACATTTGACAAGTGTTAATGTATGTTAAATTTGGTACAATTTATAGTTATACGCTATAGATGGACAACCAGTAATAAAGAAGATAAAATGCAAAGGTAATGAATCCCTTTGTAAATTTTTACTGGTAAAAAGCAGTTGGAAATACATTTTTTCTGACAAATGGGTCATTGGAATAGAACTAATAAACAATTCAGAAAGGTAAGTTCATTATCGATAATTATGGTTAAAATATATAAACAAACTCTGATTTTCCAAGGAATATATTTAGAATAGAAATGTATAAATTGCTATTAAATTGAAGAAGTAATAAAAGTAATCAGAATCAAAGTTATAAATATTCTTATTAGGATGTCGATCAGTTTTATTATTTTTGGATGTTATCATTTTTATTATTATTTAAAATTAATCATACTTTACCTTGGATAATCAACTGAAATATTTATTATCATTGCCATTTTCTTAACTAATTAAATACAGTTTCATACAAATAAGATTAATTTTCCATGCAATCCAGAGTTTTTTAAACTTCTTTATTTCATAAAATAATTATTGTCATTTCAAGTTTATAATTTATAAAATTATAAGGGATTGAAATTTATTATGTTACTTTTGCCTCATTTCTGTTTTACAAATAATTTGATTTTATTCAGAAGAAATTTTTCAAGAATGGAAAATTGATTTATATTAGATTTAAGTACTATATAATGCTTTATAATTTTATTAAGTCTTTATGAAAAGGCCGCTTCGTCATAACCCTGTTTAACTCAAACATTTGTTCTAAAATATAAGTAAGCACTTAAAATTTTAAACCATAAAGTTTTAGATATATTTGCATTTGGAAGTTGTAGAATTCAACATACATCTTAATATAATTATATACTACATCTCCTCAAGGCAGTACTATTATCATTGGTACAATGATAACAATAACTATCGCAACAACGTTCATGTCAACATACGTATATGTATATTTATATACACTAATATATACATATAGAATTAGGGAGAAAGTATACGTGTGTTTCGAAATATTGGAACACGGACTAACTATTTCGGATTATTTTAATTAACTTAGAATAAATCTGAATAAAAATTCACAACACGTGCGTTGCATTGTACTCTTTAAAAATTGATTCCATCAAAACTAGAAAAGAAAAGACGTTATTCCTACATACTCTATTAGGAATGCATTGTTCTGTATTTGAAGCTAACAAACTATTCCCATTCGATGTTTAAGCAGAAAAAATCGAAGAAATGAGCATTACTTATACCCTAAATTCTTGTATATTAAAAAATTCATTGTCTTGTGTAGTACTTAAGCAACAGGGTATTCTTATAGGTATAATACATTTAAAATTATCATGTGTTGATTTATAACAGTTTACAAACGTTTTATCGCCTTCGGTTCTAACAATTGAATATTCTATAACGTCTCGTTTATCAAAAATTTTAATGCTGTAGTAATGTTTTGCATGGGATCGTTAACTCGAACAGACTTCGGTATATTTCCTTTTCTTCATCTTAAACCACAACAGCTATTCCCTAACAAATATTTTCGTTGTAATCGATACCATTGTAATAGGTATCGTTTAACATTTGAAGAGAAAAAAGTAGCAGATAAACAGCACAAGCCCTGATGCACTTGTTCCAAAATTCTGACATTATTCTTTACAGATTAAAACTGTATTCTCTTCTCTCCCGAGTGCTATGTACTCGTCAGGAGAATAATCAAACAGCACAAAATCGTATCTGAAATGCAATATCAGGAATACCATTTTATTATCACATGTGTAGTAATATGTTTCACAGTCTTCCAGAGAAGATACTTACCTAAACATCTCATAGAGATCTTTGATCTGTGATTTTGACAATTGAGCGAAGTAATTTTTAATTACGTCCTTTGTTTGAACTCCTCTAGTAGGGTTCTTCCATTCAGGTTTAATGATGTGACCCACATGAGCTTGTTTTATGAGATAATCTTGATCTTCCTATAAAATTGGGCAATATTTTTTAAAATTAAAACATGCAACCGATTAACATTGAGTTAACGTTGAATTTTATTATTTACTTCGAATCATTCACTTACGTGAAGCGTTTCAAACTTTGCAATCACGTCGAATCGCACTTGACACGGTGTACAGAAATTCACAACTGGAGTCCAATGCATATCGAGCTCGTTTCCGGCTGTCCATTGGCATAACAGCCACCGTACAAATTCTTCAAAAAGTGGATACCTTGGACCATGTCTTCCATTGGTTTTTGGATCCTAATTATTTTCAGTAAAAGACTCTTCAAGTTTAATAAGATCACCCAAATGAAGAAGATATAGAAAACTGAAGTAATATGCCAAATATAAAGATAGACAACCCCTACCCTGGACCTATAGTTCCAAACGATATGAGCTCCAAGATTACTATGGAACGTATGCGGTAAGCTATGCTCCAATTTATCTCTGTAGGCGCTGAGCAGCCTCTCGAACGGATGCCTCACTATCAAGAAACTGATGCTGTCGTTTAGGAACTTGTTCAATTCGTCCGCCGTATACCTGGGATACTTCTGCCTTGCTAGAGAAACTGGTACGGCCTTTGAGGCTTTTAAAAACTGCGGACTATATCTAAAAAATTAAATCTCTCGTTAATCAAGCTGTTCATTTAAAGGATGTACAGTACACTGATGCGTGATATATTTTACCCTGCAAGTAGATTGAAATTGTACATCCAAGATGTAGAGGCCGCTTTGAAGACATTACACCATATTAAATGGTACTCTCTATTTACAAGGAACTCCCAAGCATTAGGCCTATGAAGAGAATCGTTTCCAGGCCGGTCTAATCCTTCTTCAGTGCATTTTTGTGCCAAAAATTTTCTTCTAGCATATAATCGTTTCTCAGTTTCGGCGATAGTTGCTTCCTCCATCAACTTTTCCTCCGGTGTCAAATTCGAGTCCTCCTGTTAACATTAATGTTCATTCTGTTATTTTAAATTTAATTACGCGTTATGAGTATAAATAGAACTATGCGTGTTTAAAACGTTTTAAAGTGTCTTTAATTCAGGCTACATAGATGCGTTTATTAAAAGTATTAAGAGAAATATACAGTATGCATTTGCATAAATTACATTTGCAAATGCAGATATCCAAAAGTTAGAAAATTTTGGTACTGTAACCTTCTTAATAAGTTGAAGTATTAGCTGATGAAACTAATTGATCTGATATCCATATTTTTCAACAAATGCTTTCGTAAGATTAATATACTTCATAAGGTGCTGACCGAGTTCAGTTCACTTGTTCAGACATTTTAAAAACGAATCTTAACGCCCAATGCTGCATTACAAAAATTATTATATTCGTCAAGAATAAAATTTGCAATTCATTAGAAATTTTCAGGTATTTTTTAATATCAAAATTTAATGAGTTCTATTTTAAGAGATTTGTAATGTTAAATATTCAGATATCTGTGATAATTTATTTATAATTATTTTTTAACGTTTCTAGTGGCAATATTTTAGAATATATGATTTGCATTAACAGCATTACGAAATCGGACACGCATTATGAAATTGGAATTAAAAGACCTCGTGAACACGGTTCATTGAAAATTATGCAACGGATATGGATATCGGATACTTGCACCGATTGCTAGAGAATAGTGATTGGTGTCTGTTTTATCGATGCAATTACCAACACTTAATACGTGCAGGCATAAAATTAATCGGTATCGATTTCTATGTTCCACGCGTAAACAACGGTAATAACATGAGAATAATAAATGTATTCGCGTTACCTTGTACATTTCAAGTAGTATATCATTCATCTAAATATAAGGCCACTTTGTCACGCAAGGGATTAGTTACATAGAAATAAAGATAAAGAGTCTAAGACTCTTTATGAAAAATTAGTCCTAGAAAACTAGCTCCGTTTTATTCAAACTCTTTCTATTGAAATAAATGTTCCCTCCATTCAAAATCTATATCTCATTTTACGCATTGTAAGCTAATACAAAACTTAAAGTTCAAGCTGATAGTGTAATTTATTAAAATCCTTTTGAGCAATAGTCACAAGTAGCCACAAAACTCAATGTTAAAAAAGAAGAAAAGACGAAAGGAAACAAATAATTCTAAGTAATTCGAGTTGTCAGTCAATCAAACCAGACAATATAAATATAATTTTTAAATTTAACGTCACGTTGACAGTCAAACCTAACAATTTTAGATTCAATAAAACAATTAAACAGTGAACAAGATCAAATATATAATGCTGAAAAGCCAATGAATCGTAAAACCGAGTAATTATCATGCAAATTCTACGACGACTGAATGATTCAAATCACGTGTAACGTTCCTAGGCTTTCAGTCGATTAAGCCGGTCGGCTTTAGAATTCAAAGCTCGCCGCCTAAGAACTGTTTTCTTCCAAGCAGCATACACGCACTGTACGCGCCGATCTTCAGTATGCAAGGTTAATCCAATTTCCTAATTTCTGCAATTAATTGGAACGCTCAGTACTGCTTGTGCGATATAGTTAGGCAATGTACGCCTACTTGGCATATTGCAGACAAACGTACAATCCAGATTCTTGACATAATTGCTTTAGACTATCTGATTCCTAGAGACTTATTATGAATGATTGTCGAGAAACTTCCTTGGTCTATTTTCTTAACAAATACTGGAAGAAAATTTGTTAATTTATAATACTCATTCTAATATTGATCTTGATCTTTTTATAAATTTATGAAATCTAAGAAATTTGTGTATCTGTTAAAAAAAAAAAGATTACTAAAAAGATAGTAGTTTATGATATGCTACAACTAACAGCTAATATTTTTTAAAGCTTCTTTCATAAAAATGTTACCCGATATTATTAAAGTTGAAAAACAAATTTATTAAAATTTTGGAAATTGCATTGAACCTTTTGGGTTTTTTGGGGAATTTCGCAGAAGTGGTGATAGTATAAGAGTTTGTGTTTACAAATTCACACGACTTACTATAATTCTATTTAATTCAAGGACCTAGAGATTCCTTATCGGCTAATCGATACTTCATCGCGTTTTTGCAATATAACGTACATTTAACGTGAACTTTAAAACGTTGCTAAGAATAGGTAGGAATTAGTTGCAGTTGAAAAGTACTACTATTTCAGCTTTATAATAATTGCAAAGATCTGAAGAAAAAAAAGAAAAAAAGGATTATTATTTATGCCTGCTGCGAATATTTAATTGTAAGATTTCTTGGAACCTACGAAAACGTCTTAGAAACCTTAGAAACTCTTATAGCGCCGTTGGTAGAACGCTTATGATGAGTCACAAGTTGAGGTAAGGGATAATTCAGGAACCCAGATTGAGAATTTCGAGAACTGACTAGTCTATTTGTTATTTGTATGAATATATAGCAGCATCATTTTTTTAAAGGTAAATAGTACCAGTTAGTAGACATTAGCAACGAACTAAAAAGTAATAAACAGGTTTAAATTCTTCCAAACTACATCTGATTATTATATTTTCATTCCATCGTTAATTAATTCTTACTTACTTAAGTCTTACAGAATTCAGTTGTAAATATCGAGAATTATTTATCTTTCGTTTGTGAAGTACTGGACTTTGTATTTTATTTACATTCATTTTAGTACGATTTTTCAAAGGTTAAATATCCTTTTTAAAATATGACATTTTCCAATAAAATTCACGTTCAGTTTAATACAATTTTGTCATTTGAACGAAACATCAAAAGAATGGATGAATTTCTAAAAAAAAAAGAGGTCTTCAATTTACCAAAAACCAACTGAAAATAAATAGAGCGAATTTTTAAATCAAACACTTCAACATTCCTAACCTCTTGATCAATCGAATTATTCTACTTTAATAAACAGAAGAATTATTTGAACAAACAATGCTGTCGTCGATAAAAAGATTTTTGATGATTGGGGTAGAACGCAGTGGCCATGACCAGACGGAAATGCCGAATATAGAAATACTGGCTTCCGTTTATTGATTTCGGACTAAAAGCCGAACGGCTATCTCAACGTTGACGTCGTAGCCATGAATATGGGCCACACGGGTGGTGCAACGCACGCTGCACCGCTTCGTTTTTGCATCCGTCCACGTGCACGTATCCCCATGTGTGTTTCCATGGGAGATTCCATGTTTATATTAAGTTCCGAAAATGTATAAATGTCAACTCCTTGGTTCGATAATTAAAACGTCGGTATAGTGGTTTTGAGAAGGTGCATCCATAAATTAGATGACTCAAATGTAGATGGGGCAGTTATCGATTAGTAATCGATATCATTCGATATAAAAATATTATTGGAAAAGAATTCGAGTATCGCGTTTCCAGAATAAAAAACATTTTTGTACATTATTTTATATGGATAACTATCCAAAAATTTGTAAGTATTTCGGAATGCAATTTTGGACGATTTGTATCTCAGCTTTGTTTTATGTCAGCTTTTAAGATGATAACTCTTTTATCACGAACGAATCGATACTTTCGGTTATCTATCGATTCTTATTACCTGTAATTTCTCGTTTCCGAAAGATTTACGACCGAAGTTAAAATGGAGACTTATTATCTTTATCACCAGAAAGGAAACCAGTCGTCTTAATTATTTACTTTAATTACTCGAAAGAAAAGGAACCCCATTTTTAGCCATTTATTTAAATATCACAGGTTAGTCGTGACTTTATTTGATAGTGGTTTTTATATCCAAGGCAATTTAAACGGTCATGTAAGATGATCTACAGATGCATCTGATGGTTTTTTGTTCCCTCGACATAAGTTTCGTCATAAATTGCTTGAAACGAGCTTATCTAGTTTGATGCACTCGTTACAACGAGAGACACTACACAGGAAGAATGATTCGTTCTTTCAATGACATTAAGAGCGATTGCCACACTCGGCTTGCTGGCTTATAAGTGTTTCACGGCGAACATCTTCCAACTTTCTCTTCAAAAAGAAATCTAATGACATCGATTCTTCTTCTACAAAGCTTCCTATAACATGCAATTTAAAGGAAAAAATAAGTAAGAAAACTCGAAGAAAGGAATTCCTAAAACTATTTGAACAATGAAAGAGTTTAACAAGGAAAGGATATTGATATTAATTAAAACGTACAAACTCCATTAAAGGAACCAAAAATAAAATTCTGAATAATTCTAAGAATTACCATTGCGATTAAAACGAAGAAAATGAAAGGTATTTAATTTAAAATACGTGTCCTAGATCTTTACAAGGTATCAGTAACTCTGAATTTGATCGTAGATGAGGTACCCAGGATTCTTGCAAGATACTTTAAAAAGAGCAACCTTGAACCGAGTAATCTCTTTTCAGTTTACTCACGGATCGTTTATTTTTAGACAATATATTTTTTCTTCGATATGATCGGTGAAACACGGAAAGTATTGAAACATAGACCGGTTCTAGCGAACCACCATATATGCACGGATACACACGCATTATGTAAGGCACTCCCGTAGCTCTTCGCGGTATCCAGTTGTATAACTTCCTACGGCTACATTTTCCCACTACAACGCAATTCTGAGTCCATCTGTGAATCGGCCTGCGAAATCTGCCGCACTTTCGCGCGTAAAACCAATTGAACTAGACAAACACTTCGCATCGTTCGTTAAAAATTTTATCTGTGCTTCCTGTGAACTGTGAACGCTGTAACACCGCCTCTTCCTACGCGGAAACTTTGTTTGCTTATCTTATCGCACATTGAACAGGAAGCTCCAAAATTTTCTAGGTATTAGGCAAAATATGGTTCGAGATAAATTTGAGATAGAGATAAATTTCTAAACGGTCAAAATGTTCAGATAAAGCAATTAGGGGCGAGCAGATACTTAAAATTTTGGAAGATAACATTTTTGGAACCTTCTCGACGTTCGCAGGTACCTGGATATTTACGAATACTCATCTGTTTGTATACAACGAATTAGAACAACGGGCAGTTGTGATAATAAGCGAATTTTAATCAAATTGCTTTACCAATTTTCAGGTACCAATTATCTGTATCAGGTTTATATGAAATTGTCTAAGATGCAATTGTGATACTTCAAGCACGAGATTGTTCAGATATCTTCGATCGAAGATATTTATTCGAGTACTTCCATTTTTTGACGGTAATTAGGTTTAATCGGATCTAATTAAAACCGACTGGTACTGATGTAAATTGAATTAATATATTCTTTAAGTCGGAGATTGAAGGCAAAGTTCGAAAATTTAAGATCGATCTCTTTGACTCACGATCAATAAGAAACCGAGGTCTATCAATCTCTATCTCTGCGAATTGCCGACAATCGTCGAAGAAACGTCAAATAAAACAGCAATCGTCCGTATCAGTGGAAGATCGATTTACATTGGTAGAGTAATCGTCGAGATTCAGGGGTAACTGTAACCACCCTTTGCATGCTTAAAGGGGTGGTATTGGACGATTGTAGGCAGCTGCATTTGTGTGCCGCATTGCGCCTGGAAGTCTGCCAATCTATGTTAGCTTTGCTTTACGTAAGGAGACCATTCTCGATGTAACCTCTTCACCGATAGGTAAAAAAAGGAAACGATGTATTTTCATTGGGATATGTTGCTCTTGGGTGATCCTGAGTATCATAAAAGAGCAAGGATTATTCGAGAAGAAGTCACGATGCTTACAATCGATCACGGTAGTTAACAAGCGAGCAAGAAAATCGCAGCTTCTTTTCTATGCCAAGGAGACAGTGGTGTATTGAATGAAATAGAAGAATGAAAAAATGTATAAGGCCATGAGAAAGCGAACGGAGCATTGGCCTTTCTCTTCCATCGTATGGAGAGAATAACGGATTATATAAGTTAAAATGCTTAAGGTCATCCTCTTGATACGCGAAAATTGGACAAGTACACTCGTCTCTCTTCATCTACTTTTTCAAAAGGCAGACAGGAAAATGCGCAACTCGAAAATTGAAAGAGGTGCGAAGTATGCACTACTCGTCTAAAGGAATATTAGAGGCAGGGCAGTAGATTGAGTCACGTATAGTCAATCGGAATAAAACATTGAATGCTTTCTAAAGCCTTGTTTGAGGTAGCTAAAGTGTGAACTAAGACAGAGAAGTCTATATTCTTCCAGCGAAGGTACATATACGCCGCCTCTCTAGGTATCTAAAAAGTATAATAAAATTTGATAAAGCATACGTATAGCAGAAGAATTAAAGGGATTATATCCGTATCTTTAAACCAATCAGATAGCGGAAACAGACGTGATCCTATTACAACGTAGGTAAGAGAAGAGAATTGGAAAAATAAATTAAGGACTATACACGAACCTGTAAACCAATCGGATAAGGCAAGTCTAATCCTCTTACAACGCCATCTTCCTATTCTAATTTTAAACGTCATTTTAAACACGAGTACTTGAACCAGAATGTTTCTTCTAAAAAGGAGGACCCAGCATGGTATTTCAGTGTTTGAAATAAAGGGACAGTTTTCAGCCACATTTCCAACGAGGATGACTGTCCCACAGTTCTAGAATAATTGTTCCTCAGAAAGTGATCCGCCTAATTTTCCGGTGGTCTAAATCCCGAACGAGTGCGCGCACATGGAAAGCTTTTCTTTGGGAACAAAAGAAATCCTTGGCCACTGTCGGATAAAAGATCGTCACTCACCTCCAATAAAAGACCTTGCTGCACACTGTTGCCGGCATCTTGGCTCGACAACGCCAACACCAGCAACGTCAAGATACCAGCAGCCAGCAATGTTCGCCTAATCGCCGCGAACACGTATCTTCGCGGTGTCATCTTCTCCTGATGCACGACCTTCCTTCTGTACTCATATCGAACTGAAACAAGTGGATTCGACTGTCATCATACACTGACAAATTGGTATCTCGGTAAATCCCATAATCGAGGATAGATTTTGCTTTACGTAAGTTCCTCGTTCGAAAATCGAGCTAACGTGCAACCATATTGCATTATGGCGTGTTTATATGTATTTCTCAAGCACTTACTGTTTTCTCATTCTGCATATTCGAGATCGATTTTCTTGTGTTCGTGTTGTAAGACATTGATTTCTTTTTAGTGTAAAGCATAGCCCAAGCGAAGATCTATAATTCCCTACAGGAATACCATTAATTCGAACGTGTCAGCGGACAAAACGGTCTGGATGGTAGTTCACTGTCCTTCTGTTCTACACCTATGATTTCTCGTTCGAATAGGGGGTGCTGACATTCATAAAATCGAGTTTAAATATGTATACATATGCTTCTTTTGTTTACACTCTTATTTTAAGGGAAGTAAACCGCTAAGGCATAGAATTTTGAAAATTATTATCTAGAAACTACAACGTATTCTGTACTATTATCGAATAACAAAGTTAATTGTTATTCTCTTACTGAAGGTACGCAAATAACTTAAAATAATGAAATTGGTGAGGCACCTGGTAATGATATAATAACCAGTTAGTTCTCTCATTCGTAATTTGAGATGATTCATGAATTACTCATAACATATAAGGAAATAAAACCCGGAATACGTCGTAGAATAACACTCGATACAATAATACTTCGTAAGTAAGTACTATATTGAAATATAGTATACGTCGTGTCATCATGACCCATTAGCAGTCACGTGTTTGTTTCGTAAGGATGCATATTACGAACCTTTTGAAAACCCTGATATACAAAAACGTTACAAAATGACATTTTATCTCAAGTTGCAAGTGAAAAGATAAACAAATTTTATCTGTATATAACATAGCGCCATTTAAGTATAAATGCCATCGTTTAATTGTTCCTTGAAACATAAAAAACAAAAATTAAGTATTATCAGTTTACACATACACTATTGATATGCATTTTCTAGCTTGACAATACACTCGTTATATAAATAATATTGCTAGGATTTCAATAGTATAACCCCTTTGCGTGTTAACGTTGCATACCAGTTCATTTATACAATTACCAAGTGGATATCGATTCTACTTGGTACCTAAGATTTTAACTTTTGAATACAAAATAATACTCTATAGATGAATATCTATAAGGTATTACCTTCATTTGTAAATGTTATTTCACATTTACATAATATTATTTCAAAAGAAACGACGAAATAAATTATGCTTTAGAAAGGTATATACATGCTTGCTTATTTGGTGAAGTTCCAAGGCCATGATAAAATAATACATGCAATAGTTATAAAGTGGAACGTCAGATTCAAGGATCGATGGTGCTTTATCGAAAACTTCGCATGGAAACGCGAAAACACGCGCGCGCACACAGCAACATATTTTTTCATGAATCTAATTTAACGTTTGTTTGTACAGATTAAGTCTTACATAGATCTCAAGCTTATTTTTAAGGAAATTATTACAATAGTGATAGCTACATCCTATCGTTAAATATTTGTCCACCAGTCAATTATGCTTTAACGGTAAACAAGTACCAACCAATAGAAAAATGACAAGCAATTTTCAAATTCTACCTGCATGTGAAGGACTACATACAGAAAACTTTAAATGGCAATGCAGTCGGTGTATATTTTCCCTGGGTCAATAGGTCAGAGAACATCTATTCTTTCTGCTAGGTTAAATTCTTCGTGCAAATAATCATATTCTCTAGTTTGTTTGAATACATTCCCACATTTGTTTATCTCGATACGTACTTGGCGTGGACATATATGCCCTAAGTCAGGATTCAGCGATGCATCTATTGCACTCCCTGCAAGGAATCCAACGCTCCTCTTCGATACGTTTCGATTTCTTCTAACTTGCTAGTCGGATTCGATCCTGCAGAGATACGAATAAAACACACCGTAAATCGAAACACGATTATGGTATTATATTTCTTGAATTGCAAACTCGCGAAACACGTGACACAACTGACTGATTGAACAAAACATATAGATACCATATGATCACGGCGGCATCCTGCAGATTACTGAAGAGACACACACCGTCCTGTACGCTCTCATGCATGCGTCGTCTGCTACTAACCGACTCGTTCGAGTTCGCTGATTGGTTAATGTTTTCGCGGGTCGATTTGCCTGGATGACTTCTACGCAAGCGTAGTATGCTGGTACTGAGTTTTGCTACCCTTTGCGACACTCTACAGACTCCCTTTAATTATCCAACCTCTTTTGAATACTGTTTTCATTATCGAGGCGTAGTAGAAAACTAGAAAATAAATTAGCTATATAAGTGTTTTCGTTTAAAATAATTTTTCTTATATATTATGAGAAATCTTTCGTGATAATAAAACGGAAAACTTAAATTACTTCTTTAGTTATTCTGCTTGTTACACTAGTATCACTGTTGTAGTTACTAATGAAGAATGAGAATCAAATTTGACAGTATAAATTAAGAATGAATAAATATCGAAAAGGGAAAATTATATTTCCCTTAAAATATTTCATATGATATTGTTTCCTAACACTGTCTTCAATAAATATTGATAAAATAGTATCGCGACGTTGTGAAATATAAAATGTGAAAATATTTTTACTTATACACCTATAAATAATGTAAGCTAAAATGTCTCATTTCAGAACATTAAATAAGCCTCAGATTTACGTATCCCTCAATGAAAATTATGATCTTTATGGTATATCAATGTTTTGGACATTAAAGAATGAAACATTTTTATACCAAATCGATGAAATTCGACCTTGTAGTGAAGTTGTAGCTACAGTCGTTCTCGATTTGCCAAAATTTAATACAAATTCCCTCTGTGAAGTATATGGTACAATTTTATATGAAGTTGAAGAGGAAGAATATCAAATTCCAATACCTGTTATCCATATCACGATCGAAGACACTATCGATAGTAGATATCAAGTCAAATTTTTAACCGAGGAAAATCAGGTTCTGAAAAGGAATAGAATATCCAATACCTTGCATATGATGTTAGCTTTAAAGAGTTCGTCGATGGAGAAAACCATTGATGTACAAATCAAAGGAATTCCTGAAAGAGAGACACACTTTTTGACGTTTTTGAAAGAAAAATCTTTCCAAACAATCTACAAAGATATTTACATTGTACAAACAATTGGTACGCTGATGCATTGTTTGATCGAGATACTTCCTATTACCGAAGGAAAAGAGAAGATAAGAATTTCTTCAAGGTAAAAACAATAAAAACAATTTGAATATCAGTCTTAATCTAAACAGTAAAATAAAAATATTTAACAATTTTTGTATATATTTACAGATCTAATCAGCAAATGAATCTGATATTACGACTTTTAAGGCAACATTTTCCGTACATGATCATTGAAGAAGATGTTAATCCCATCCGTGCTGCAATGGCTCTCATAGAAGAATTAAAATTGTATCTTGAGAACACAAGCACCGCCGAGCGGCAAATGGCAAGAATAAGAACTGACCTACTTATCCCGTGAACACGGTAAAACAGATTTTGTTCATTAACGGGAGAATAGGTTGAAAGTTCTGACATTATTTATATTCATTAAAAATTTTCCCCATAGAAAAAGTTTGATAAAATAAATAACATTTTCTTATTTTTATATTATATTTATTACTTTGTATTTTATATATTTATATATAATTTGTATATAAATTTGTACATGTCTTCTTTCTACAAGAGATGTATATATTAAATTATTATTTATTTGGAAATCAAAATTGAATTGAACATATCGAAGAATTTCGAATTATTATTATTATCTTACTCCTAGCTCTTGCTCCTAGACAATAATATCAGGATAGCATAGCATAGGTAGTAGCATCGTAACTATCAAGATCCCGCCGAAAACCGGTTTACTCACTACTACTTTAGTCTAGCTACAATTGCACTAGTATAGTGTCGATATAAACCAATATTATAGCATTGATAAATAATTTTTATGAAAAATTTGGCTGTATAGTTTACTCTAAACATATTAATATGTGCCTACTTTTTACAATTACCTAATCTTATTAACATCTTAATAATTATATTACAAATCTTTATTTTTAATGAAATTAATGCAAATTTTAAAAGCAATAAGAAATATTAAATAATAAATGTATACTCTAATATCTGTAAAGAAAGTTAAACTTCTAATCGACTAAAATTCATTTACTTCTCTAATTTCTTTTACCATTCAAACAAAGATAAGATGATACAAAATTTTTGTGGCCGTTTCATGGGAATTATCCTTGTTTAAGTTCTTCCGCCATTTTTCGTCTTCTCTCAGTCAATCTAGTGTGCGTGATTGGATATACTGTATGCAAGTATATATAGTTAGGTATCTACTGCCATCATCTGTCTTGCGGAACTATGTTGTGTCGTGTGTAGCAGCTATTCACACATCATAGAAAAGGAACTATCGTGTTCGTGATTTGCGAACAACAAATGGCTAACGCAATAGATGTCGTCGATTGGGAAGGTAGATTTCGTTTGATGCAAATATCACTTTCATTCTTTATTTTTTATGATTTCGTATTAGTATTCAGTTGCTGAATCCTAAAAGTTTTGCAACAAGTAATATAACGGCTTGTTTTGACATATGTCACTTTATTATCAATTCAATTTTCTTTATTACATCTAACAAAGAAATGTGATATTGTTTTATAAGTTTCCATTAGAATTAAGAAAAGGTGATATATTTTTATTTATAAAAGTTACATTGCAAATATTTCACCTTCGTTACGTCAAAACTCCTCTGAAGCGTAAAAAATATAATTTAAACGATTTTGTTATTTATACATATGATCGTAATATGAAAAATAATTTGATATAACTGGATTATGAAATAAAATCACTTTACAATAAATTATGCTATAATAATTTTCAGTCAAATTTTAATATTATTATTCCTAACCCTACCAATGATGACAAAAAATGTGAATCATCTTTTTTTACCAAGTATAAAGTAAAAAATTGTACAATTTAATTTTTACCTTTATTACCTTGATGTTTTTTATAACTAAAAATTCTAATAATATTCATTTTTTAAATTAACAACAATGTTTATATCATATACCTAAATAATATTATAGATATTATGTACTAATGTACTAATGTTCATGTATAATTTACTACTATCAACATAATTATTAATTTCATATTTAATTTTAGATCTCAGAAGACAAGCAAGACATTTGGAAAATGATATTGATGCAAAATTGGTAGCATTTAGTAAGCTCGGTGTCAACAGTGGTTCCAAGCTTGTTAATAGTGATGAAGTTCCTCTTTTAGATGAAGAACATGTCTTTGAAAATATGGCTTCTGAAATAGAAGCATTGCTTACTAAAGTAAGTGTACGGTATTGTTACTATGTTTCAATAAATTAAATTATATATATATTTCTGGCAGTTGTTTTCAATAAATGAAAGAATGGGCAAATTGCAACCAAATGGTGCTGCAATGTTGCATACAATGCAACGCCATAAAGAAATATTGAAAGATTATAAATTGGAATTCAGTAAGATTAGAAACAATTTTGCTACAAGAAGAGACAGGGAAGATTTACTAGGAAGTGTTCGTAAAGAAATCGAGTACGTATACCTATTACTTTATTAACCCAAATTATATTCTTTTCTAAATATTTGATTAAGAGATTATACATCTTCTATGGAGCAGTAACTACAAAAGTGTAAGTGGATTGAATCGTCGGGAAATGTATTTAAAAGAAAATCAACATATTCATAAGTGAGTAATTTTGTCTATGCTTCATTTTATTGTAATTTATAGTTATTACTTGTACATAATATAAAGTACCCTGTTCATTACATTTCTTAAACAAATATAAAATTAATGAAAATCTTGTTTTCCAGTTCCGATCGTCTGCTCAATGATCAAATAAGCATAGCAATTGAAACCCGAGATCATTTGATGACCCAAAGGCAAACATTTAAACGTATACAAACCAGACTAAATGACATCTCAAATAGATTTCCAGCCGTAAATAGTATAGTGCAAAGGATAAATCTACGTAAAAGACGAGATTCTCTTATTCTCGGCCTTATTATTGGATTTTGCACATTTCTTATGCTGCTCTATGCTTTTCACTAAATAATATTCCATACCAAAGTACTTCCACCCATAAGGGGTTAGTGATTCATCGATGGGAATGCATATATGTAGACGAGGTATTTGGTGATGTATTTACGACATATAATGAATAAGAAACACAGAAGTGAAAAGTGCGTGATTTATGCGTAAGTGAACTTTGAATGGTCGAATGAATGTCCTCTCGTTTGGACGAGTTAAGAAAGTAAAAAAGAAGAAAAAAGAAAATGTTAAACTGTACAGTTTTTTTTATACGTAACGTAAGTCGTGGGTGGTATTATGTAAAAAATTTTAATCCACGATTAACATGTTAATTTAATAAACGTTAAAACAAACGGTGAAGATTTTACGCATTTACATAATCATTTGTATTTTTTTTTCAATTTCCTATATACACGACTATATAAAGTATTTTAAACACATTTTTATTTTGAAGCTTGGAATAACGACTATAAAAAGTAATTCATATTTAAAAAGCCAAGCTTTAAAATTTTACTATCATTTTCATATATTGAGAAAAAAAAAACAAAAAAAAGAAAAGAAAGAACGAAACTGTAATTAACTAATCGCAGTGCAATAGACTGATATTTATATAAGACTTTATTTGCTATTAGTATAATTTGATGCAAGTACTAAATTTGTGCTTGCAAAAGAAAACAATTTACACATTTTTTTTCTTTCGGAAATCCATTGTATTTTATACGCCTATGAATCAATGTGTTTCGGATGCTTATCGCGTTATAACATATACTTTAAAGCACTAGGAGAAAAAAGTAGTAAGTTGTATGATATCATTACTTCAGAATTACACAATAACAGAGGAAAATAACGTTAATACGAATATTGTAATTTGTAGTACGTAATGCGGGTTTCATCATTCGAAAGATCGATTTTTGTTAACATTACTTTTTTTCATTTTTTACTAAGAAGTATTGATTTTACATACACAGAACATTTATACATGTATATATACACACGCACGTACATATATATATGTATATATGTATAGCATCACCAGAGTCTCTCATTCGAGTTCACAAAACACAGCACGTTACGAAAGGAATCGTTCCGGCAAGTGCGGTGTCCGGTTTCCACGTATACTAGATACCACATTTATAAATTACACCTTGTCTGTAATAGGAACTCAAGCAAAAATTGTAAAAATATCGAATATAAGGTACACGTGTGACCTAAAACTGCTTTATATTCTTTAATATATATATTTACACTTTGAAAACGTTTCGTTATAATCACAAATCACTTTCAATATTCCAATTCTTTGTTAGCTGATAATTTCATTTTTAATAGTTTTCATCAAGAATCTCCACATTTGTAAAGAACGAATATATGTATAGCGTATCGATACAAATATTGCAGCTTCATATGAAATAAATATATTTCACATAAAACTAATTGCGAAAAATAAACAACGAACCATTAACGAATGATTAACGAATCGCACGAATTATGTCTGTAATGTACATTAATAAATAATTTACTGAGTATCCTGTATCGTATCAATTTCACGGAAAGTGATACAACGCAATAAGAGTATTCTTATTTACGCTACATAAATGTATATTTTACATTCTTTCTCTTTTTCTTTCCGTGCTCTTGTTTTTTGTTTATAAATGCAATATGTAGTGTATCCGTAGAAACTTAGTAGTTTTTTCTCGTGAATTACATCAAAACGATTCTTTGTAGTAAGAATAGTTGCGAAGACAAGAAAATATTCACAAGATAATTTTCGGTTCCGCAGTGTCTAAACACGTAAACGTTCAATTCGCTTATCCTTATTTTTTCTTTTTTATTTTTATTTTTTTTTTTTTTTTTATACGAGATCCATCTTACCTAGCTTTCGAAACTCGTCCAGGCGTACAAACAAACAACAGACATCTACTCAATATACATGCGAATCGCATGACTACTTTATGATTTCTGAATATAAATATACTGCCATATGTATCGTTTGTATCTAACTTTTGTTTTAATGCTGGCTACTTATAAATGGAGAGTATTGGGAGACGAGGTTACATATCTTTTTCCCATTACACACAATTTTTCAAATTATTCGTCTACTATTAAAACTAATGATATTCGTCACAGTATCTAATACAATGGACAAGAAAAAACTATATTTCACTAAGTATACTATGAAAAACAAATTTATAAAAACAGAAAAGAATTATACTATATTGGCACTTATTTCATAAACAATAAATGTTAGTTTCAACATAAAATTTACAAAATAGAAAAATTCTCGTTTATTACCTCGTCCCTCCAACCCCTTGTAATAGTAATAGTAATTTTTCAGTGGGGGTACTAGTACTAATAATAGTAGCAGTAGTGTAATAATATTAATGGTAGCAGTAGCAATGATCATTAATTAACTGTCCGATCAATTGAATGATCAAACAGAAGAATTAGAACAGTTGCGTATACATCTGTGTATATTCCAGCAAGAATCGATTTCTTCTTGCACTGCCTTTTTTATATAGTACTATTACTATTTTATACCTTCTTTTTCCTGGTTTTGCTTATTTTCACCTTGTTAATAAGTCACAATCTATATATGCAAATAAGCAAACCTTTACCTATCGCTAAGATTTTACATAATCGATTCTCACTGAATGTTTAATTTGTTCTTCAAGATATGATTAGCATAAAATACGGTTGCTTAAGTCGTACGCATCATTATAATTTAATTTTACGTTTCCACATAAGAATCTCGCTTCTCTCCACATTTCATGTCCATAAATTTTATCATAATAGATGCAATATAAAGTTATTCTGTGTTGGTTGAAATTCTTTTAAAATGTAATACATTTGAGAGAAAGAAACAATGAAAGAAGAAAAGAAAAAAGAAAGAGAGAGTGAGAGAGTGAGAGAGAGAGAAAATAAAACCTAATTTTGTTCTACATGTAACAATATAGTTTATAAAACAATTGTAATATTGTTCTTTCCTGGCATAAAAACTTCTTGACAAGTTTACTATATATCCAACTATAATGTTATAAAATTATGGAATTTGAAGTTTTCTTTTTTTTACTTAACCACACGAAAGAAGGACGAATGAAAAATGGAGAAAGATATTCATTCTAACTAACGCTCAAGTAAACGCGAGCGCAGTCTATGACTAAAAGTGAAGAGAGAAAAAAAGGAAAAAGAAAAAGAAGAAAGAAATATTTTAGCTACTTAACGTTTCGTGTATGATCGAGATGCAATGGGCGAGATAAGTATATTTCATTAAAACGTATAAAATAACATCGAAACCTAACAAAGGGATAAGTTCGGATCTCAAGAAACTTGTAGATTGGAAATGTTCGTGCCACACGTTTGTTTCACTCGTCATTACCAGACTGGGCAATTAAAACGGAGGCTGATAGATTCCGACTTTCGAATCTACCTGATACATCCTTATCAATCGACACGACTAATTCGTGTCTTTGCCGTACATTTGCAAGTGCACCCTCTTCTTTACTGAATTTTGTCACAAGACTTAGGAAGAGGGATTTGTCCACGTTATATTCACATCAATCGCTTCTTTTGGTCCTGTTCTTAATAACAAATAAACATTACAATTTCCCATCGCTTTCCAAGGAGAAAATCTTACTTTTATAATGAAGCTGATTACTTACCTATAAAAGCGAATTAATGAAATGTTCAAAATGTAAGTTCTTCAGTATTCTCAGCATCGGATGATAATTCTTGACGTAATATTTCCATACAGGACTTTGGAATAAGAGTACCGACTATTTTTAAACCCTCATCTATAATAAAAAATTAAAAATAATATTTATAACAATCTATGAAGTATATATTATAGTTTTATAAAATTATTAATTTTCCATGAAACTTACCAGTTCGTAAACGTACAACTTGCATCTTAGAATTATGAGCAGAACGTGTTGCAAGAATGCTTTCAACTCGACTCCATACACTTAACACTGAACCTGATAATACATTATAGGAACGTCTTCGGAGTCCAACCTCACAATCCATACCAAGAGTTGCATTTTTACAATTGCCGCGCCAATAAGCATGTGAACATGTATCTACAGACGCTTCGTATTGTTGTGACCAATGTGGTTCTGCTTCGTCCGAAGATACTTTTTTATATTTTTTCTCTAACTCACCTAGAGTTTCTTGTCTTAATTGCAATCCTGTGTTGGGCCTTTTAAAAAAAATATAAATCACAATACGATTATTTTTAAATTATTAAACTTTGTGTTTTATACGATGGCGATAACATACCTATAAACCATGTAGAGCTGATCTTTTTTGCTCTCTGACTTCTTCTTTCCAGTATCCACTATAACTGCAAGAATTGCTGTCTGTTTTCCATTACGAATTTGATGACTTAAATAAAAACCCTCTTTGGATCCTGTTAATTCGGAACATTTGTCCATCGCCTCAGCCCAATTCATACCCCGTTCAACGTGAACAACATGGAGTTCAGTTGGTGCTTTTCCAGTGGCATGTTTCCGTAGAAAACGATACAACTTTACCCTTTTTACGTTCTCTCCTGAGGTACCAAGATCGAGAATACCCATATCAAAACGACCAGTTTTTTTCGCTTGAGTGACAATTGCGTTTAGAGTATCAGTGAAGTATTTAAACAACCGATTCTGCAGGTCAACCGGCATACCAAGAATACGGTTTAAGAACTTCGACATGTTATTATAATCTTTATCCAACGTAAGCACACCAGGCGTACTCTCACTATTGCAAATTAAACCAACACCCACTAATGCATCAGCAACGTCTTTGAAGAAATCTCCGTGGTAATCTTGTGGCGGCGGAACAAGCGGAGGCTCGTACCTAGTATTGTATTTTTAGAAGAATTAATGTAACTTAGTAAACTATATTAAACATTATTACACATATTAACCATTGTAAAAAACATACAATAGCACAAAATACGTTATTAAACTGTAAGTTATACAAACTTCATTATAGTTCTCATTGTCGCTTCAAGCGCTGCACGTCCGTATTTATTATCAATATTGAATTGCGAGAGATCTCTGGTTTCTGTGGCCCTTCTATCACCATGCGTGAGAGCCCCAAGACTTTCTAAACGCTTCGCAACAATGGATGCGAATCGTCGTTCTCCAGCTAAATCTGAGATAAGAAATATGTATTCGGGAGCGTTCACTTGATTCGAACGATGTGTTCGTCCGAACTGTTGTATCGCCCTATCTGCGCTCCACGGTAATTCAAGAGTGATATGCACTCGTCGCATCTGATTCCTCGCTCGTCTATCACTTTGCAATGATATACCACTGCTAGCTGCTTCTGAGATAATAGCCACTGTTTTTTCACCATCCATAAACCTATTACGATGTTGAACCATTGAAATTTTAATTGTCTGAAAGTAGATTCTTTTTTACATGTAAGTAAAATAGAGATTGATTAAGTACCTCTGTTTTTCTGTTAAATTAAGTGTTTCCAATGGAACGTCCACTTCAGATCTTGATTCGTATTGAATAGTTCCATCCTCTGTTTGAACAACACGTCCTTTTCTACCAGTCATTTCGGCCACATTTTCCGGCCCCCCAAATTCATCAATTAGCTGATCCAAAGTATTTGGTGGCAATCCTTCACCTAATTCTTCAACCTGTGCTAATAATTCCTTTTTCATGGTGTAAGCACGTTCCACAGCATCTCTTGATGGCGCTCGATTACGCGTTGCTCCAGCTGCGGGCCCTATATAATCTGTCATTGTATTACCAGTATATTTGTTTTTACTTACAGATACATATCTAAAAACAAAAGATATATACCAGATCGTTTCTTTACTGGTTTCTTCTGTTTTTTAGCTCCCTTCTTCCTTCGCCTACCATCCCCCGAATCTGTAAAATAAATAATAAATTAATAAAACATTTTAAACAAGTAATATTCATTATTTATGAAATCTACCAGAATCCGACTCGCTGTAATTGAAGGAAGAATCTGAAGTAATATTGCTCTCCTCATCGGTTCTATGGTCGTCTTCACTCTCACTGCCACTCTGTTTATATTCCGAGCCAGAACTATGTCCGCCATTTCTTTCATCATCCGTAAAATCGTCATCGGACGGGAAAGTGCGAACTCTCTTTGAGGCCCGTTGAGCCGCTTGCCGTATCGGTTTCCTCTTACTTCCACTTGCAGAACCACTAGCACCATCAATATCATCAAGATCATCTAATCTCTGCATTTTCGATGGTTCAATACCCAGAACTCGTTGTATGTGATTACGATCTGATGCTGGGAAATGTTTCTCAACTAATGTTTGCAGCACTCCTCTACAAAAATGTTTTCAAATAGAAGTGTGCAATGTTATCGTATTTTTGTACTAATAAAATTGTATGGTTAATTACTTTGCAGTGGAAACGAAATCGCTTAACTCCCCATCATCACGTTCCAATTGTTCTAATGTGCGAGCTTCGCCAGTAGATTGTAAACCAATAACTACGCACTTTCCACACTTCACGGCTTCCCGCGCAACTGCTACAGCATGTTTTACTTTTGCAGCGATGCATAGATATTTAAAAAAACGCTGATGTGACGACCAGAACTGTCCCCACATAGTTTTCTTCATACGATTTTCTGCATCCAATAATTCTGCTGCTTCTTGAAACCTCTGCATTGCTTCAACCCACTACATAAAAATTTTAATCGATTAACTGATCCCTATTCAATTAATCATTAAATTATTGAATTTTCTTTTATTGTGATACTTACAAGATGAACGGAACGATCATAAACTTCAGTAAAGTCTTTGGATAACGGTACTTCTTCTATTTTAAAAGCTACACCATGAAAACTGAGTTGTCGAGCAATGTACATGCCTCGTAATTTCATATCCATTGCTACGATTTCCATTGCACCAACTCCACGTTTCTCCACAGCGGTAATAAAATCATTAAATTCGGGAAACGGAGTTCCTTCGCCCCACATACCTAATCGAACCATATAGGCCATATTACGGGGCTCTGAAGCACCTGTAGCACTGGCATACACTACTCTAGCTTTAGGAAGCTGATTCTGCAATTCTAAGACTGTTAAACCTAAAATACAATGGTGCAAAATTTCATATAAATATGATACAAAATATATTACACATATAAGTTCGTAATGCAAATTACCTGTTTTTGTTGGTTTTGAGCTTCCGGTGGGACATAAATTCTTCGCTCGATGGCATTCATCAAAAATAATCAACCCATCAAAATCTTCACCACACCATTGTAAAAGTTGTTTCAGCCGACTCTTGTATTTCCCGCCGCTTTGCGAAGATTCTCCGATTAAAGCTGAATATGTACTGAATATTACTCCTTTTTTAACATTGCCATTTACAGCTGATGAGATTTTCGCGTATTTAAATTTATTTAATGCATGAACCTTAAAATATAATTTATGTCATACATTTAAAAATTAAAACGAAAATTAAAATTATAAATAATTAATAATTTATACACAAAGGAAACACTTTCAATTAATGTAAGTACCTCAATTTTTGACGCGCCAATATCATTTAAATCACGTTCAGCGTCATACTTTAAATCGTTTGAGACAGACACCCAAATAGCACGTTTTCTTCCTTTCAAGTAATTTTCAAATATAATTCCAGCTATAGTTCGACCTTTACCGACTCCTGCACCATCACCAATAAGAAAACCAGCGCGTGTACCATCCGGTAAAAGATGTTCGTGCTGCTGAGACGCATACGTTATTGATTCAAGCTGGAGCGCAGATAAAGCTCCAGTGCGTATCGTTTCTTCTGGTATCGAAACCTTGTACCAGACGTCTGTTGGCTCGACACTGGATAAGGATGCAGTTTCCACAACAGGATCTGGATGTTTTCGTCCGAGTTTCACTATAAAATATCATATTAATTAGAAAACATGTATTAGTATAATATATTTTTGAAATAAAGTTAAATAACATACATTTAGTAGGCATATAATCGGCATACGTTTCTGCAACGCCCATATCTTCATCATCCACTTCTTCTTCTTCCGGTATTGTAGGTTGCATATTCATTTTTGCAGGATCTCCAGAATTCATCCATAACTGAGATACAGCTTTACCTATAATAATATTTTAGGTTGTTATATCATAACGTTTTATTTTTATTCTATAATTAATAAATGATATTAAACGATTTTAATTGGTATGATTGAGGGAATAATCATGTTTTAATAACATAATAATAATTAAAAATCACTTTTAAGAATACATACAAAAATATGAAGAATACCTGATAATCCAGCTGGCCAGTTTGGATGTAAACCATTTTGGTTTAACAATTGAACAAGGGGATTAACACCCATGTTCATTCCAGGCATACCCATAAAACCACTCATTAAGCTCATATCCATGCCTGAGGAATAACAAGATATGTGAAATCTTTCAATTGCTCATCCATTATTTAATAACACTATTTATAATAATTAGAAATGACAATAATTAATTATTTAATTACTATATAAATTAATTACACCTAAATCATTAATATTAATGTTACAAACACTATAATGGAACAATAAGACTGTAAATTCATTACACAAATACATTTTTGTTACAACAATAATAACATATGAACATAATTAATTTATACATACATTGAACACATATTTATCTTCTATAATACAAACAAAAATAAAACAATTTAATTATGTTATATAACATTCAGAACTAATAAAAAATCCTTAATACTTACTTGGTGGAAAAAAGGCTGCAGGGTTGAAACCTGCCAGTGTTGCTAATCCTGGTGGAAAATATGGTCCACCAGCAGCAGCTAACTGATTTAACTGACCTAACTGACCTAACTGGTTTGCAATAACAACACCAGGTGGTGTTCCCTGTGATCCTCCTACACGTACCATTTCATAACCTGGTGTTGCAGTCTTGGTTACTAATCCACCAGGGATTTTATTACCAAACTTCTGATTTAATACTGTTAAAAAAAAAAAAAAAACAATTTTAGACATTGTTATAAGTTATTTATTAAAATTATCCTTACTATTTAACCCTCCTTGTCCTTTGGGCATAACATTAGGTGGTATGTCTGAGGGTTTTTCATCTTTAATATTTGCAATCCCAGTAGCAGTAGCAAGATCTTTTCCACCACCTAATAGAAAATTGTATTATGCAAAACACAGATTTTTTGTATAATTTAGTCTTCTTTACATTCTACATTCAAAAATAAAATATTTACCAGGTACTCCCATGTTATCAGGATCTTCATCCTCATCACTGCTGCTATCTTCATTCATTGCGTCCTTATCCCTTTTAGTTGACTAAGAAAAAATTTATTCAATGTTTTAAAATCATATGACATCATTATTATGTATTAATTTATCATTATTTGAATAACAAAACCATTGTTTAAATTATTATCGTCGTTATCGTCATCCTCAGATTTATAATAAAATAATGGATCAAGCGTATATTTCATTATATTTTTATTTAGTCCATACTTCGTTTTTTATATTTTCAAAACATCATGTAATAGATGACTTTTTATCCATAAATATAAATATAGATTATATCTAAAAAGAAACGTCGGAAGCTATCGTATATAATACTTTAATTCGTACCTAATTAAAAAACGAAAAAAAAAAAAAAAAGAAAAAAAAAAGGGGGAAGAAAAAAAAAAAAAAAACAAAGAAGTTGTT